CGTCCTCCTGTCGCCTCTGGAGAACCTCGCCGCGATAGAGGAACCCGTCGTGCGCGACAAGGTAAATAATAGAAAGAAGAGCAACTTGCAACCATGCACTCCGCCACTTGGTTGTCGTAACTGATTCTCTGACTTCCCATCTCTCCGCTCGTTACAGGCCGTCGAGTCTCTCAACAAGATCTGCCGCGAGATCTCCGAACAGCAAATCGAAGACTACTTCATCCCTCTCACATTCAGACTCTCCAAGGCAGACTGGTTTACCTCGAAAGTTTCAAGCTGCGGTCTCTACACCACCCCGTACAAGAGGGTTTCTGCTCAAACGCAAGATGAGATGCGTAAAGCCTTTGCGCAGCTTGTCCATGATGAGACGCCCATGGTTCGCCGTCAGGCCGCCACCAAAATGGCCAAATTCGTCAAGGAGATGCCCGCCAACGTTGTCATTGACGACATGATGCCCCTCTTCCAACACCTCGCCCAGGACGACCAAGATAGCGTGCGACTGTTGACCGTCGACATTCTCGTCTCCATCGCTGAAGTTGTGCCCAAGGAGCAACAGGCCAGTCACGGCGGAATTCTCGCCCTGTTGCGGAGTCTGATAGAGGATAAGAGTTGGAGGGTCCGCTACATGATTGCCGACAAGTTTGAACAGGTGCGTGTGCTAGCTTGGGTGGGAGAGAGCACGAAGGAGCCCAGGAGCCCCGCCTTCTTCATCTACTCTTTCACTTCTTAGGGAGGTTCTGCGGTTTTGCTAAACGTTGCAATGACAGATGGCCAAGGCCGTAGACGACGAAGTGGTCTCTCGCGACCTTGTTCCTGCCTTCGTCAAGCTACTTAAGGACACCGAGGCTGAAGTCAGGACGGCCATTGCTGGTCAAATACCTGGGTTCTGTTCCCTCATCGACCGCAACGTCCTCCTGAACGACGTCATGGGCAGCATCGAAGACCTCGTGTCTGACAGCTCGCAGCACGTTAGGGCCGCCCTGGGCACACAGATTAGCGGCCTTGCTCCGATTCTTGGCAAGCAAGAGTCTGTCTCCTTTCCCTCCCCCAAACATATAGATTTTGGCTGGAATAGCCGGCTTTGGCATGAACAGCGCGATACTGACTACTCACGCTCCCATGACAGGACCATCGATCATCTTCTTCCCATGTTCCTCCAGATGTTGAAGGATGAATTTCCCGAGGTTCGGCTTCATATCATCTCGAAGCTCGAACTCGTCAACCAAGGTAGGTTTACTTTTCTGTCCCCTTTTTCGACTTGGTTCTTTGAACTTAGCCCACTACAAGCCTTGGCAACCTGTCGGCTTTAATTACAATGACTCTGACTGGGGTGTCTAGTTATCGGAATCGACCTGCTCTCGCAATCTCTTCTGCCAGCTATCATCCAGCTAGCTGAGGATAAGCAGTGGCGTGTGAGGTTGGCCATCATCGAGTACATTCCCCTCTTGGCCAGCCAGCTTGGCGTGAAGTTCTTCGACGAGAAATTGAGCGATCTCTGCATGAGTTGGCTTGGTGATACAGTCTTCTCGATCCGCGAGGCTGCGACACACAACTTGAAGAAGCTTACTGAAGTCTTCGGGGTGGAGTGGGCGAACGAGGCCATTATTCCCAAGGTCATGGCCATGGGTAACCATCCCAATTACCTCTACCGAATGACCACCTGCTTCGCCATTTCTGTACGTTGGGCAGCCCCCCTAACTCCTGTCTTTAACACTTTCCTGTCCCTTTTCGGTTCCCAATCCTCTCTCCTGTATTGGTGGGAATGTGCGCTCACACTTGCTTTCAGACTTTGGCTCCGGTAGTGAGCATGGAGGTAATCGCCGGAAGCATCCTTCCACAGCTCCTCGACAAGCTGGCCGATGATGACATCCCAAACATTCGATTCAACGTGGCCAAGACTTACGGCATCTTGATCGACGTGCTGCGCCGACTTCCCGAAGAGGGTACGATCTACTCTCTAGAAAAGGAAGGTGTCAGCTTCACGCCGTCTCCGCGGGGCATGGAGCTCATCCAGACTCGGATCCTGCCTAAACTCGAGCAGCTGCAAAAGGATGACGATGTGGACGTCCGCTATTTTGCGACCATGGCCGCCAATAGTGTGACGGGATCGGCGCCGGGTGGTGAGCCTATGAATACATCACCATAGATGAGAGAAACATAATGAAGCAATTCCCACTACTTCTCCGACTGCCCCCTTTCCTCCCTCGCTCTATATCTCTCTCGCGCGCGCGCGCGCGTTGTTGTCCAACGCCCTTTTCCATCGATACATTGCATGCTTTCTCATCCCTCGGCCTCACCACCAGAGACGTTTCAAAAAATCGGATCTTTCGTGGCAAAAGAAAACAAGAAGTCTTCCAGGGAAATATTTAGACAAGAGCAGAGGGTAGGGTAATTCTGGGGGAGAAAGCGAAAGGATCACAAGAGAATGACGGTACTCATCGTACCAAGGGTCTGATGAGTTGAGCATATGACTCGGGGCAACCGCCGGAAGTCTGGCGTGGTACGAGGGCAAGACAGATGATTACTACCCGACGTAGCTGGTATATCCGGGCACGGGACTCCATGTATGAAAGTGCGAGGTCTTAATGATGAAAAAAAGCAGTTTCTGAACAAAGTTCGCTGTTCAAATGTCGGGTATCATAGCAATTGAGAAAGGGTTTTCTTTGCCCCCCTTCCCACCCTGGCCAAACCTCCAACTTCTCCTGGTCTACCACCAGGTCATCCCATACATAGTCACGGCTAGTTACTAACACTATCCCATTCCCTACCTCTTAGCATGTTTCTGGAAGCAGAGCGTACTGATGGCTTGACCCTTGGCGCCGCCAAACTGGAAACTAGGATACTCAATGGAGCCGACAGCGGCCAAGCTGCCAGCCTCGTCCACCTCGGCGGTGTCGGCATCCTCAAACCAGGCCCGCAGCTCATCCTCGGTCCAGTTGCAACTCGTGACGAGGAAGAGGCCGCCCGGTTTCAGGAGACGCAGCACGCGGGCACGGTACCCTTCACACACGCGGCGGCCGGTCTGGGCGTCCTGTTCCGGGGAAAGACATACGGCGTCGAAGGTGCCCTTGTCCAGGACGACGTCCCAGCCGGTCTTTGCCTGGGCGCCGCCGAGCGCGACCTCCAGCGGGCCGCGGAGGACGTCCCATTCGGCGAATTCGACCGAGGGGATTTCTTCTTCTTCTTTTTCTTCGTCGTCGTCGTCCTGTGTTTCTGAAGGTACGTCGACGACCTCGTCCATCGCATCCTGGTCGCCTCCCGCCTCGTCTTCATCTTCGTCTTGGTCCATATGATCGTCGTCGTCACCGCCGCGGCGCTCCTTCCGCTTCTCGGCGACTTGGCGCGCCAGGGCGACGCTGGCGGCGGAGTAGTCGACGCCCAGCATGGGGCCGCGCCAGCCGTCTTCGCGGAGGGCGAACAGGAGGCTCCCGTTCCCGCAGCCGAGGTCGAGGAAGGAGGCGTCCTCGCGGCGGATCTCGTGGTCGAAGGTGGCGGATTCGGTGAGCTGGTCGAGGTAGAGCACGGTGCGGGATTCGGCGTCGGCGTCGTCGAACCAGACGGTGCCTTCGTCGCGGGGGTTCGAGGCGTGGTTTTGCAGTTCGGAGGCGTACAGGTTGTCCCAGCTATATTTTCGGAGGGTCGAGAAAACGGCGAGTTAGACTTGATACTGGCATTTTCGAATGAAGCGTGTTGAATATGGGTTGGACCACGGGGAGAGTAAGTATTCGAGGGACGTACTATTCTTTTGTTCCGAGCTTCGAGGGTTCGAGGTGAGTAGGTTTGGACGACATTCTTTTCTTCTTTCTTTTTTCGAGAGAGAGAGAGTGTGTAATTCCCGGTAGACCACTTGCAAATTGGTAATTCAGTAGGTGTAACAAGTTTGAGAAACCAGTATGTCTCTGCGCGTTCTTTCTTCGAAGAACTGATATTTGAACTTGCCTGCCACCCCAAGTCAGTATTTTGGCCAAAGTGGGGGTGGGCGACAACACTCGGAAAAGCAAGCGGTGAGCGTCCCGAGACCAAAAGCGTAACAGATGGTGGGGCAAGGCAAGCTCGAGACAACCCAAAATGTATCGGCGGGGAAAGAGGGGTACCTGACTACCTACCTCACCTTACCTACCGGTATCTAAGGTACAACGGTACATACGGCGTAGGTACCACGAAGTGGATACCTTAGTTCTTCACCTCAAGCACCAAAAGGGGGGGAGGGGATCCAGGTACCTATGTAGAAGTAAAACGCGCACGAGGCTGAATGCCTACCTAGGCGAGGCTGTGTCTATTGGATGTACCTGACTTAGGTGCTCTCCTATCACGAACACAGGGATGACCAATGGCCCGCCAGAAAGGCATATCATTACTTTGGTACAGACCAGACTTCAGCTACAGCCGCATCTGCCCTTTGGCCTCTTTGGCATCAGACATGAACTTCTCTCCTATATTGTTCGACTTGCGCACCGGGTCGATGAGTCGGCTACACCTCATCCTGGTCCTCAGCAAGGCGAAATATATCATTCCACCAGCATCATCCCCTGGTATATAACTCGACTTGACCCGCATCTGTATCCGCATGTTCCCTCCCCATGCTTCCTTGTCTTGACGCTTCACATTGCAAAGCCGATGGTAGGAAACATAAATCTTTCCATGGCCGCCAATACACCCAATCATGGCTTATAACAAATCTTTTTGCCCAAGAAACACAGCCTCCCACGTCATCTCGTCTATAGTCATAGTCCCCGGGGTCGTGAAGCGTCACCTTGCGTGTATTCCTTCACTTCTCTAGCCAAGCGTCCAGACCGGTGCCTTCATGAGTACCTGTCGACCACGTACTTCTACGGCCAGGAAGGCCGCGAACCGGATCTTGCCGCTATCCTTCGGTGGTGGAACTGCAAAAGTTGCCGTGTCAGTATTTTTGGCATTGACAAACGAGGACGCGGGGACGAGACTGCTCTTCCTCGCCGGGATCGCCACGGCCGGACCTTTGCCGCTACTGCTGCCGCTGCCGCCACCGGTCTTGCTACTGCTGCTCTTGCCGTCTTGTAAGGTTGTAAACGTACCGTTTCGGGACTTGTCCCCACGTGCTCTGGAACCGGCGCCTTCCCTCCCATCTGGCTCCTCCGCCCTTCCGTCATCGACCTGTTCGCCGTCGCCCTGCGTTTCGATCGCAGGCAGGCCAGACTTTTCCACCTCCATAACATTGAGGTTGACCGGGTCACCCGGTAGGGGGTAGGTGAGGGCGACGTCTCGGCTCTCCAGGGGCATGTTGGCCGCGATGCTGACCGCCAGTTCGATGATCATCGACGCGCTGCCGTCCACGCCAGTCGGTGGGGGTTCGGCCAGATACTGGAATAGGGTCGCCGTCAGGTTGGCGGTGGCCATCCGCGTAAAGTCGGCTCTATTCTCCGCGCTTTCCGGCGACTTGATGATGTGCTGCAGGCCCTCGAGTGTGGCCATGCGCCAGCTGACCACCTTGGTCGTCAGGGCCTCGAACTCCTCCTGCGCGTTCATCGTGTACGAGAACCGCCGGATGTTCAGCTCGATGTCCTTGAGCTGCCGGCTGAGGTCATAGTTCAGGCCCGGGTGGAAGCATTTGTCAAAAATTTCCTCGACGATCCAGCGCGTGATAACCGCCCGGCCCACTGCCGTCATCTCCTGCTTGCCCGTCTTGAGCGCCTCGGCGCTGACGTATTTGTTGAGCCACTGGGGAACCGTGCGCCAGTCTTTGCGGATGTTGAACGATAGGTTATTGATGGCGCCATTCAGCCGGTTGAAACGTGTGAGGTATTCGCTGTCGTCCAGCGCCGTTCGCGACTGTGTGATGCGCTGGTTGGCAATAGCATTCTGCAGTTGCTCGACCTGCAAGGTGAGATTCTCAATCTGCGTCTTGCCATCGAAATAGAGGCGCTTAACGTTCTTGTATTTCGTCACTATTAAGGTGATCTGGTTAGCGCCGGCCCGTTCTTCCCCACACGCGGCATGATTTGTCGGTCTGGAAAAAGAGACATAAAAAGGAAACGTACAGAGCTCTTTGAACTTTTCGGGATCAGCAAGGTTCTGATCGGCATTGGCGGGCTGGGGGCTATTTCTGCCTTGGTCTCCAACCTGCCCTTCGAACTGCGCTGCCCTTTCTTGGCCACCGGCAACTCGAAGAGTGTTACCCTGTCCGCCTGCGGCGCCCGGAGGAAGCTGGCTCAGCCTGTAACCAGAGGGCGGACCTTGCGGGGGCTGGTCGACAGTGCGGATCGTCTTTTCTGCCTCGGGAGGCGGTCGTCGGTTGTTAGGCGGCCCTCCGGGAGCCATATTCTCTTCCTGTCCCTCTTGATGCTGGTGGTGACGGGTCTGTTCGGGCTGACGCTGGCGCTGGTGCTGGTCTAGCTGGTCCTGCCGTTCACGGTCTGGGAGAGAATCTTCGCGCTTGGGAAGGACCGGCACACTCTCTCGCTGGAAAGGAGGCTGGTTAGGCTGAGACTTGATGTCTTGAGCACCGCCGCGGTTCGTCAAGACGGGGGACTGATGAACGGATTGCGTATTTGGGGACTGCGAGTCCGAGTCGGCGACGGCAGAAGAGTCATGCGACAGCCGAGAGACTGACCCAGAAATTTTCTCCTGCGGTGTGGCGGCCCGATTCTGGCTAGCGACGCCGGCGAAGATGGGGGAAGGGCCACCGCTCGGAGGCTGCGAGTGATACTGGCCCGCTGCCTGGTAGGTTGGCTCGGGCGAAGGGTCGAAAATGGCTTGGCCGTACTGGATCTGCTGGCCACTCGAGGTCCGTTGCTGCTGTTGCTGCTGTCGATAGATGAGCTCCTCGTACTGGACCGGCTCGAAGTCGCTAGGGGCAAAAACAACGGAGTGGCGGTCCGACTTGTGGGGATTCTGTACGATAAAGCTCCTGTTAGAACCGCTTCCCACCAGGTGCTCTTCCAATTCACCGGGTCCTTGAAGGGGTGAGGGCCGGGTATAAGGGCCTTGCTGGTCCGTGGGCCAGTCGCTCGGTTGGTCGAGAGAGACCTGGGAGACGGCGAACGGGATGGATGGTGGGTTTCTCACTCGTAAAGAATCTCGACGGTCAAGGCCACCGGCAGCGTGGTCGTACTGGAGGGACTGGGAATGGGAGTGATGAGGCTGGTACTGTTGCTGCTGTTGGGAGGGCGGGTGGTACGTGGAATGCTGGGGCTGAGACTGCTGCGGCTGCGGCTGCGGCTGCGGCTGCGGCTGCTGGTGGTGGTCTTGCGCTCTAGTCAGGATGTTTTTAATCAGCTTCCTAGCAGACTTCTTCTGCTCGGGCGGTGGTGGTGGTGGTTGTTGTTGTTGTTGTTGTTGTTGTTGTTGTTGTTGTTGAGGCTGGTGCTGTTGAGGCAGCTGCTGATAGGAGTAGTGGGCAGGAGTGCCGACCGGGGAATCGAACGTAGCCTGGAGGTCGTCTACGGAGCCGGTAGCAGCGTTGTACTGGGGATGCACGTGGATTGGAGCGACGTTGGGGAAGCGATGCGATGCGAAGTCCTGGCGAGGAGGCGGTTGTTGCTGCGGCGGGGTTGGCGGTGGTTGTTCTGGGTCTGTTTGTGATTGTTGCAATTGGGCCAGTAACTGCGCCTTTGTGCGGGCCAGGTCTTGCAGCTGTTGCTGCAACGCCCTATCAAGAGATTCACTCGCACTATAGGAGTTGGAAGGCGAAGCGGAGGGGAGGCTGTCACTGGCAGCACCGTCGTGGTGATAATGGTGCTGGTCTTCGACGTCGACGTTTCTGTCGGTGTCAGTATCGGTGTCGGTGTCAGAACCTTCTTGGTTGTAGTCGGAATCGTGATGGCGATGGCGATGGTGGTGGTGTTGTTGGTGATGGTGATGGTGTTGTGATTGTGAATGTAGTTGTGGTTGTGGTTGTAGTAGTTGTTCCTGGTAGTTGTGGGGCTGTTGGGTAGTACCTGGATTTTGGGTTTGGTGGAGGTTCTTCTGGGTTTGGGCGGTGTTGTTAGTACCTGTCGTTGCGCCGGAACCCACTGATGACGAAGCGGTCTTGGGCTCTTGCCTTACACGTACTTCAGGCCCTGAGGATCCTCCGGCTCCTACTAAACCCACTCCCTCTGCTCCTGCTCCTCCGGTCGATTGCGATGATGGCAAGGTAGATGTCGTTGTCGCTGTCGCCGTGGCCGACGATTTTGAGGAGGAGGCTGTGGCAGGCGTCTGAGGATCGCTCGTTGTTGCACTGACAAGAGCGTTCTGGGAACGATTGCTATGTTTACCAATGCGGCCGAAGGTTGGCATTATTCTTACGGTCCTTCGTTGTACCCCCTGCAAAAGCGTCTCGCGTCTTTCGCCTCCGGCGCTGTGGCGGGCGCTCTGGGATAGACCTAGGGAGCGGTGGCAATGTTATAACACAGAACAGTAATCACTGGGTATTATGGGAGATGAGAGGGAGAGAAGGAGAGAAGGGGAGGAAAAAGAGAGAAAGAGATAGGGCACAGAGGAGAGGAGAGGAGGAGGATGTTCCCTGTCATGTAAGCACGAGGCACGAGAAAAGCGGGAGACAGGCGACAGGATAGGGCAGAATGGAAAAGGGGTTAACACCGCAAAAGGGCGAAAATGCGGGGTGTTTGGGCTACTGGGCCCTGCTTGGTGGAAGAGAATACGGAGATGCATTGGATGAACCTCTAGCTTTACTAAATATAGCAATGACACGGAAGCGTACGTTGTAGGCATCCAAGTTCGAATAGGGTCCATGTACGTTGTACATAAAAGCATCTACGATGTACGTTGTATGTACGATAAACGGCTATGCATATTAGTGGGAGCAGTATAAACCTTACACGTAATTACAGCGCAAACTGTTCCGGGTACCGGAGTAATTACTTCGCACCGCGTGTAAAAGAAGTTCGCGTCCACTCCGCACTGCCAAACGAGTTGCGCAGCTGCTCCAAATTGCTACAAGTGTACGCCACAGTATAAGGTAAGTAGCGCATCATTTCGTACGAAGAACCGCATCTACCGCTGCCCCACTCCAGGCCGACCCCATATGACGATTCCTGGCCTATGATAAGGTAGCTGCCGGGATCGGAGTTATTGGGCACGGGGGCATTAGTAATTACTCTGTACAGTGCATCGTCACTAAATCCTACCTCACGGATAAGATAATCAAAGCACAGATGTAATTACCGTTTGACTACACGTGTACAACGTACTTTGTAAGCCGCTTTTGTGGGTGCCTCCATCTCTTCAGCTTCCGATTGGCCGGCCCGGTGTAGCTTACACTGTGAAAACATCGCGAATTGGGTCATTTGTATACCTTCTACTACGAGATTCTTTTTCATCCTCCACCGACCTCCTCTCTTTCCTCTCTCTCGCACGCTGCGTCCGTCCCAGTGTCTCACCAGGAAACTTGATAATTGTACGGATATTCCACATACAATATCGACTTGGCTTCCACCTCTCTCTCTCTTTTCCAATCTTCCATTTCTCTCATTCATCTTTTCTCAGCTCCTCAGGTGAATCAACAGGACACGCTTTAGTAGCGATAAACGAGCTGCGGCCCCGCGCCAGCTTCAACCAGCGTGAAATCCCTTCACGTGTTCCAACCGATTCCTCCGAAGACCACCTCAAGACCACTACAGAGTACATGAGCAGCGTAGCATGACTTGACGACGTGCCCTCTGCCTTTTGGATACACATTGACCATGGGAGGGTCTGACGGTTCTCAGCAGATCCTCTTCGAAACAGGGTCCTTCACCGGATACCGCCCATATCAAGACCTTGGTAGCCATTACCTCTCGGCCAACCGAACCTTCAAGCAGCCGCTATGTGGTGACGTTGAGGGATGGGGTCCCCTGAGCTCCTTCCGATATGACTTCACTCCCTGCTTTATCGATGTTTGGATAGCCATCGTCGCCGCTTTCGGTATTATCTTTGGATCCGTGGCCATCGTCTGGTTGCTCCGCAAGGGAAAGCCATTAGCTGCTCACAAGGGCTGGCACTTCTGGACTAAGCAGGTGAGTTGAGAGAGCTTCCCGTACGACGACCCCCTTCTTCCCTGAAACAACAACGACAACAAAGGCCTGTGTAGTCATGTATGCTCATCATCGCCGCAAACGTCCTACTCTAGTCTCTGCTTGCCTTCATTATCGCCGACTTCGCCGTCCAACTCGCCATCCAGATTGTCAACTATCCGAAGATTTGGTACGGAGACGTCCGCGTCTGGACGACTGTCGGCACTATCGTGGCCCTCGGCGTCATATTTGCCATCCAATGGCTCGAGCACGGTCGTCTACGAAACCCCAACGGCGTTGCCTTGTTCTTCTGGCTCTTCCTCCTCATCGCCTGTGTCGTCAAGCTCCGCTCCCTCGTCTCCCAGCAGCTCTACCACAAAAACCTGCCCTACTTCGTAACGTATACCGTCGGCTTTGGTTTGTCCGTGGTGGAGTTCTTTGTGGAATGGCTCTGGCCCACCGACCGCAACGAGTACGAGGCTCTGGTGGAAGAAGAGGAGTGTCCTATCGAATACGCCACCGTCTTCTCCCACCTGACCTTCTCCTGGATGACGCCCCTGATGCAGCTGGGCTACAAGCAGTATCTGACAGACGAGGATCTCTGGGGCTTGGCTCGCACGGACACGAGCAAGCACACGGGGGACGCCTTCAGCAAGGCCTGGGATCACGAGTTGAAACATCGCAAGAACCCTTCTCTCTGGATTGCCATGTTCCGCGCCTACGGCGGCCCCTACGCCGTTGCCGCCATATTCAAGCTGGGTAACGACATTGCCCAGTACATTCAACCCCAGCTGCTTCGGCTGCTCATCAACTTTGTTGATTCGTACCGCGAGGGCCAGGAGCCTCAACCTGTCATCAAGGGTGCCGCCATCGCCCTGACCATGTTTGGCTGTGCCTGCTTCCAGACCGCCATGGTTCACCAGTACTTCCAGCTGGCCTTCGTCACAGGCATGCGCATCAAGGGCGGTCTGGCCTCGGCCATTTACAAGAAGTCGATGAAACTGTCAAACGAGGGCCGGTCGTCCAAGACGACGGGAGACATTGTCAACTACATGGCTGTCGATTCCCAGCGTCTCCAGGACCTGACACAGTTTGCCCAGCAAATCTGGTCGGCACCTTTCCAGATTACTATATGCATGATCTCTCTCTACCAGCTCGTTGGCTGGTCCATGCTTGCCGGCATAGGCGTCATGGTCCTCATGATGCCGGCCCATGGATTCATCGCGAGAATTATGAGGAATCTGCAAAAGGAGCAGATGAAGAACAAGGATGCAAGGAGCCGACTGATCACTGAAATCATCAACAACATGAAGAGTATCAAGTTGTATGCTTGGGGAGGCGCATTTATGAACAAACTCAACTTCGTGCGGAATGAGAAGGAACTTAAGAACCTGAGGAAGATCGGTGCCACTCAGGCCTTCGCCAACTTCACCTGGAGCACAGCCCCTTTCTTCGTTTCCTGCTCGACTTTCGCCGTCTTCGTCCTCACCCAAGACCGTCCTCTGACTACCGACATCGTCTTCCCTGCATTAGGTATGTTACTCTTGGTTTTTGCTCTAATTCGGGACCCCGCCTTTGTCTCGGGAACTTGGAACTAAAATCACTGCCTCAGCCCTCTTCAACCTACTCACATTCCCCCTCGCGATTTTGCCCATGGTTATCACGGCCATTGTCGAGGCCAGCGTCGCTGTTGGCCGACTGACGTCTTTCCTGGACGCCGAGGAGATTCAACCTGATGCTGTCGTCATTAAGCCTGCTCCCGAGCAGATGGGAGAGGAGACTGTCGTGATCCGAAACGGGACTTTCTCCTGGAACCGCCACGAGAAGAAGAATGTCCTCATGGACATCGACTTCACTGCCTACAAGGGTGAGCTTTCCTGCATTGTCGGTCGCGTCGGTGCCGGCAAGTCCTCGTTCCTACAGAGCATTCTGGGCGACATGTGGAAAGCCAGCGGCGAAGTGCAAGTCCACGGGACCGTGGCATATGTGGCCCAACAACCTTGGATTTTGAACGCAACGGTGAAGGAGAACATCGTATTTGGATATCGATACGACTCCAATTTCTATGAAAAGACAGTCAAGGCCTGTGCGCTTCTGGACGACTTCGCCCAACTACCCGACGGAGACGAGACCGTCGTAGGTGAGCGAGGCATCTCGCTCAGCGGTGGTCAGAAGGCCCGAGTGGCCCTGGCCCGCGCTGTCTATGCTAGGGCGGATATCTATTTGCTGGACGACGTGCTCTCTGCCGTCGACTCGCATGTGGGTAAACATATCATTGAAAATGTCCTCGGTCCTAGGGGCCTGTTGGGCTCCAAGACTCGGATTCTCGCCACCAATGCGATCAATGTTCTGGCCTCCGCGAGCTTCGTCACCATGATCCGCGATGGGCAGGTTGTCGAGAGTGGAACCTACAAAGCATTGACGGCTAAGAAGGGTCTCATTGGCGAACTGATAAAGACTGCCGGTCAGGAACAGTCCGCCGGGCCGTCATCCATCGCGAGCTCGAGCGCTTCGAGCAGTAAATCGACTACTTTGACCGAAGGTCCCGCTGACACCCAGGAGAAGGAGGAGTTGGAGGAGGCACAGGAACGCGTGCCGGAAATGGCGCCCATCAAGACCGGTGCCTCTACCACGGACAAGAAGCGGTCGAACAGCGATGCTACGCTCCGGCGCGCCAGCGCAGCTAGCTTCAGAGGACCCCGTGGGAAGCTCACAGAGGACGAAGTCACTGGAGGCCGGACCAGACAATCTAAGGAGCATTCGGAGCAAGGCAAGGTGAAATGGGACGTCTATCTTGAATACGCCAAAAACAACAACGTCATCGCTGTGGCCGTTTACCTGTTCACCCTCCTGGCTTCACAAACGGCCAATATCGGCGGCTCAGTCTGGCTCAAGGAGTGGGCGGAGCACAACCAAGAGGCCGGCTTCAATTCCAACGTGGGCATGTTTATTGGCGTCTACTTTGCGTTCGGAATCGGATCGTCCCTTTTGACCGTCGTCCAGACCCTGGTTCTCTGGATATTCTGCTCCATCGAGGTAAGTTGGGGTCTGACAAGATACTATTTTGCGCTCCTTTTCCTTCGCCAAAGAGGTCGGGCTGCTGATCAAACTACGATAGGCATCGAGGAAGCTGCACGAGAGAATGGCCAATGCCATCTTCCGGTCGCCAATGTCGTTCTTTGACGTGACACCTGCGGGTCGGATTCTGAATCGCTTCTCCAGGTTGGTGTGGCCCTCTTTTTCCCTGCACCCTTTTCACCTTCTTGTACCATCTTCCTCCATCCCCCAACCTTCCCTCGATACCTCCCACAACCCTTCCCCTCCCCTTCTACAACTCGGGCTCACTGCGTTCTCGAGGCACACAGCCACTAACATGCATGATGCAGTGACATCTACAAGGTAGACGAAGTGCTGGCCAGGACCTTCAACATGCTCTTCGTCAACGCGGCTCGTTCCGGATTCACGCTCGTCGTCATTTCGGTCTCCACGCCGGCGTTCGTAGCGCTCATCATTCCGCTGGGCCTAATGTACTACTGGATCCAGCGGTACTACCTTCGGACGTCCCGCGAATTAAAGAGGTTGGACAGCGTGAGCCGCAGCCCTATCTACGCTCACTTCCAGGAGTCGCTCGGTGGCGTCTCGACGATTCGGGCGTACCGACAGCAGCAGCGATTCGAGCTTGAGAACGAGTGGCGTGTAGATGCGAACCTCAAGGCGTACTTCCCGTCGATCAGTTCCAATCGTTGGCTGGCCATCCGGCTCGAGTTCATTGGCGCCATTGTGATTCTTGCGGCTGCCGGATTTGCTATCATTTCCGTTGCCAATCATAGCGGCTTGAGCGCCGGTCTTGTCGGTCTCGCCATGTCGTACGCACTGCAAATCACGACGTCGCTTAACTGGATCGTGCGGCAGACTGTGGAGGTCGAGACGAACATCGTGTCCGTGGAGCGCGTCCTCGAATATGCGAGACTGCCGAGCGAAGCTCCGGAGGTCATCAAGGGCAGCCGGCCGCCGGTTGCTTGGCCTGCGAACGGTACCGTCGAGTTCCAGAACTACAGCACGCGGTACCGCGAGGGCTTGGATCTCGTGCTGAAGAACATCAACCTGGACGTCAAGTCGCACGAAAAGATTGGCGTCGTCGGTCGCACGGGCGCCGGCAAGTCGTCGTTGACCCTGGCACTCTTCCGGATTATTGAGCCCGTTACGGGACACATCAACATCGACCAGCTTAATACGTCATCTATAGGGCTATTGGACTTGCGGAGGAGACTCGCCATTATCCCGCAGGATGCCGCCCTCTTTGAGGGCACCATCCGTGACAATCTGGACCCTGGCAACGTGCATGATGACACGGAGCTGTGGAGCGTTCTCGGTGAGTGTTACCCCCGAAACACGCTCAATATGATGGCCATGAGCATAAGCATAACCCCATGCCAACAACCCCTCCCCCCATCCTGGTTCCCCTTCTTTCCTTTCTATATCCATCCAGCTGCATTCTGGCAACCCGACTCGAAACGCCTCGATTCGCGTTCCACAGAGGCTAACGCGTTCTCGTAGAACATGCTCGTCTGAAAGACCACGTAACTACCATGCAAGGCGGACTAGAAGCTAAGATTGCTGAAGGAGGTATGTTTCTAATTCTCTGGCATTTTTCGCCCTTTCGCTTTCCATCGGCTTCGTCTTTGTGCGACCCTCTTTACCCTCGTGTTCCCCTTCAACGCTACGGCTTCATTGGGCAATGTGTCTCCAGGACGGGGGGCTTGGGTAGTTAGCCAAACCTCCCATCTCTGCCCCTGATGGTTGCCTCGCTACTGCTGGAATAATGGCCGCTGTACTAACATTACTCCTTCCCTCCAGGCTCGAACCTGTCCCAAGGCCAGCGACAGCTCGTATCACTCGCCCGCGCCATGCTCACGCCGTCCAACATCCTCGTTCTGGACGAGGCCACGGCCGCCGTGGATGTCGAGACGGACGCCATGATCCAGACGACTCTGCGCTCGCCTCTTTTCGCCAACCGTACCATTATTACGGTCGCGCACCGCATCAACACCATCCTGGACAGCGATCGCGTTGTCGTCCTGGACAAGGGTGAGGTGGTCGAATTCGACACGCCCCGCGAATTGATCAAGAAGCAAGGTGTATTCTATGGTCTCGTTAAGGGGGCGGGTCTCGAGACGGAGCTCTCATGATTGTCGAGCTTGGGGAAGCCTTGGTTGATTTGAACGAGTCTCTCTGTCGTGGCGACATGGCGGGTTGTAAAAATGAGTTGACATAAAAAGCGGTCCGATGTTGTTGCCGTGCTTTTTTTTTGGTTGGATACTCGGCAGCTTCTGCATTGGCAAAACCATGTAGATATAAAAGTGAACCCTGAAGCAGCAGCTAGAGGGCAGGAAAATTGTATAGCATCTTTTTTTTTCTTTTTTTTCTTTCTTCTTCTTCTTCCTTTTCTTCCTCCTTACTTGTGCGCAAGGTCGAACATTACCAGTCCAACCTCAACTCCGGCCTCAACATCACCAGGGCCAGCAGGAATGACAGTTGGAATGTCAAGACCACCAATGTACGGCGTAGTCCGCAACAATCGCCGCTTGTTTCCCCGTAAACGTCATGTTTATCTAAACCCTGGGGTGGTAATCGTCGTCGTCTTCGATAACACAGGCAATTGTTTCGTCAGTCGTCGAGTAGTAAGGTAGTTCTGGGGCGCTCAGTACGACGAAGCGTGAGCGCTTCCGGAACCCCCAAATCTGTCCATCCACTGATAACATTCTATATCTGACTTGTTATATGAAGTAGCTTAGCTTCTTCCTTTCATCCAAAATCAAAGGTGTATCTGATAAAGACACCTTCCCCCACGAGATCAAAGCCCTGGCCCCCCCCGAAATTGAAACGTCAACGGTCTTGGCCCTCGCAGTTATAACCTCAAATTAACCCAGCCAGCTAGATAGGGACTCGTCGGCTCTTACGGAGTACGTCTTCTTCCTGCTTACCGATGGGTTAATGCTCACCAACATTGCATGACCGTCATACTCCTGCCGCTCAGCCGCATCACCGAGGCCAGGTGCCACAGCAGCAGACCCCCCCCCTCAAATCTATGTTCGTAGACTGAAAAAGCAAGTTACTGTGACACCGGGTGATCTCCAAGTAGCCTATCGTCCGCACCATCCGAGTATGAGCGAGGGCATACACACACACGTATGCTTACCTATGTATTCGTACGCTCTTGTCCCCAGTCCATGTTGCCGTCGTTGCTTTCGAAGTCGGGCTTCTCTGCCGGTTCATTACCAGAAAAAAACCTAGTCTTTACGATTATGGTGCGCCATGCAGGCTTACGGGCTGGCACTGTCTTGACCGTAGTTCCCCGCATGAGCCTGCCTGGTCTTCAAACGGAGGGACTCTTCTATTATCGCGGAGATATAGAGGCTTTGCCTGTGTGTCAGAGATGGTCTGCGACGTTTGGGTATGTTCAGGAGAGAGGAGACGATCCCGCCATTCGAGGTTCGTTGGTTCGTTGGTTCGTTAGTGACACAAGCAGCCAGCGATTATTCTTACCCCAGTTCTTATTTCGTCATGTTATAGAACTCCTGGCCTCGGACTGCAACGAACCGAAAAGTCGTGCATATTGACGGTTCACAGAGCATCTTGAACCGCCTTCCCCGGCCGGCGACACTTCGTCGGGTCACTACTCTGCTCGGCCCTTGCTTCCCCATCTAGAGATGAATTTCCGAATAACAGGTCTCCCGTAATTAATTAGTATGCTGCTCGAGCCTATCGCCGGCCTTATTCAGTAAGGCGTTTCGTCAAGAGTTCTAATCAGAGAGCAACCAGACAGTGCGTGGCGGGAACACGTACGCTTTCACGGCGAGATAGAACCAGCCCTCTTATCCCAGTAGCAATATTGGCTAGTCAACAGGTACCCTGGAGGCAAGACTGGCGGCGCACCAGGAAAGCTGGCGAGCGTGGGGTGGTGCCCGTCACCAGGACACATGAGCTGGAATGCATGTGTGCTATTTATTATCTCCAACCAAATTCCACGTGTTAGCCTGTATGGTGCAGGGGTCCCTGGATCCTGAGAATCGTGTCTGCTCCAGATAAATAGCCAACCTGCGAGTGTATCCGTACGTACTTCGTACTGTTCCAGAGGATGATCAGGTTGGAAACACACAATCGTGTTCGGTCTCGTGAGTGTCTCTTGATAAGGGAAACGAACCTGCAAGAAAGACAACAGGGGGGGAAAGGGCGGCCAGTGCGACCAATGATTTCGTACATCCGCCAAGGGAAGTCTCGTCGGTCTTGCGAGAGACAACTTGTTTCTTTTTTGACTGGCGTTAGGTCGGTAATTGGGCACTTTATGGAACGCGAACGAGAGCTACGGAGTAATAGGCTAAGCCCCCCTTTTTTTTTGCCTGTTTCTTTCTTCTTGCCTCGGATTCGGTGCTTCTCGACTGGTCGAGGCTCGCAAACGCCCAAGCTGGGAGCATATCGGCGGGGTAACACGGACCATTGACAACGTTGAAGTCGCACGGCGACATGGTGGACTGAGACAGCACGTTACAAATGGTACAGAGTATTCGTAGTGTAGATTCGTAGATGCATGTTATGGAGCTTTATTCGGACTGCCTGGTCGCGGAAGCGTGGTGCGAGATAGAGGGGGGCAAACCCCGAATCCTTGGCCGGTTCGAGTGCAGGGGTTGAAGGTCGCATATTTCCAACCAGACGGAAATCCAGGCACTAAGATAGTCATCAAGTTGGGACAACTCTTCCGTCTGGAACCAGCGTAGCGGTAATAGAACATCGCCGAGGCGGGCTGTTCAGGGGGGGAGAAGGAGGGCAAGATGAAAGGATGGATGGGCGATCTTGCCATCATCCCAACTTGCCGCGTACTTGTAATTATTAGGTATTCGTCAGGTACACTGTACAAATTACGGAGTACCAGGAATCGAGGTCCGAATCCGACGCGAGGATACGACTGACTACCGTACCTAAGGTAATAAGGTACCTACCTTACTAAGATAGGTACCTTACTGACTCCAGTAATACAGTACGTACCTCAAGTAGTGCTTTCCCATTCGTTCTGGGCAGTACCTTACGTTGTAATTAGTGTGGGCAGCACCTGCATCGGAAGAACTTCCGCGCTCTTGTCCTTGCAACAAAGTCTTAAATGCGTCCTGAGTACGAGGTACATTTTCAAAGTACGGTTGTATGCTATACGTACTCTGTACGATGCACGTGGTGTTAAAACAACAGCCTTTTACTCGAATTCAACAAGTACATACAAACCTACCTTATATAAGCGCAGCGAAATTCAGTGCTCGGATAGTAACATTGGCCGTCTTCCCCTTTAACCGCTATGGCTATTGCCCAAGCCTGCGGCACTCCGTATAAGAGAGGTGTACGAACGGCTCTCTATATATACGTACCTAGTACGTAAGGTAAGGTAGGTACATACGTACGTACGAAGTTACTTCCACTTTCGAGCGGTCTTCCCCCACCTACCTTATGAACATTGGAAAGGCCTCCCCCACTCCCCGTTATCTTACACCTCTGCCAGGGGTTGGAAACGTGAGCTCGGAACTTGGCCCTACGTCTTAATCGATTATTAGTTTGTGCTACCAATATACATATACTCCGTAATTATCCCTCTTACGCCTTCCATCAAGGTCGCCTAGGAGGCCAGGGATCTCGGAACCAGCGCGGGCCCCTCTGGGTACCGTGTGGAAAGTCATCCACTCCGGTTAACAGTCCCGGAAGTGTCCCCGGCGTCCTCCCGTGCCGAATCAATGAATTCCACAGCATGCCGTTACCTCAAAGGGACTCTCTGGACGACTCCTCCCCCTTCCCCGGGGCAGTGGGTTGAAGACTAGAAGCGGGCAAACCGGGAATGTGACTGGCCCTATATAATTACTATATACACTTCTCCGTCTCCTTTGATCACGGATAGGAACGTATGTATCTCCCGTTTGTTATTTCCAGTGCGATGCTAATAAGTTACGTTGTATATTGGGCCCGCCCACGGATATACCCTAGTGGCCTTGGTCTAGGGAACCGGTCTAGCTGATCATCCCGTGGTCGGGGTCAGCCGTCCAGGCCATCCCCGTCCACCTATTTCTGACGCCAAAAGCTAACAAGTAAAACCGGCCCTGAGACTAGACCGGTCGTCTGTTTGATTCCATCGTCTAGAAAAGCCGACATCCCTAAGGTATATACGAATATTCTCCGTCCCATGGATGGATGTCAATGTCTCGCTCAGAGAACGACCCCAGCGTGACATGGGTCGCAGCCAGAACAACAGGAAAGAAGGGGAGGCAAGCAAGATGCACGGCACGCAGAACGAATAGGTAGTTGAGCATGTCAACCCCAGCTATGACAACTCCGACGAAGAAGAGGAAGCCTATTAGTATTACGTACTAAACTAGCTGTGTCTTTTCTCGCAGCAGGCTCACTAACAAACAGTTGCGGAGCCATCCTCGCCTGCCAGTAGTGGACAAGAACCCTATGTACTGCACCATACCTAGGTACCTTAGGCATTACGGCATTGCTCTGTGGGTGGGTTTTTGTGCCCCTGACTCCTAATCCCACATACGTATTTGTAGAAAGAAAGAAAAAGCAATGCTCGTGGGTACGATGCAAACCGGCGTTTTGCGATCCAGCCAATACTTTCGCGGAGTGACTTTTTCCGCAAGCTTCTCGCCAGTACAACAACGTATGTACCTACCTAGGTAAGGTACCTTACGGTAAGGTATGCTGGACTCACTCATACCTGGCACTAGGCCCACCGTTGTGTCTCACTCCAATCCCTGCTCGATGGCAGGGTTTCTCTGCCACCCACTTCATGCGTTCGTTCGCACAATTCGCTCCCCGCTTTGCCTTCAACTGCGGTTCTCCTACAGCGTATGTATGTACGCCTACAACGTATGTACAGCTGGTCGATCTCCAAGCGGTTTTTTTATGCCTCGGGACCACTTCCCATAGGAGCCTGTCAGTGCTCTCTTTTTCAGGGATAATTCATGGGCGATTGGCCGCAGTGAAGTAGGTACCCAGACTTCTTAAAGGGGACGCCTTCTTTTCTTCCATTACCGGTATGCCTTCGTACTCGGTATATATGCTGGGCACAAATTGGTTGACTCCGGTATTAGCTAGTCGACGGGCCATTCAGAAGGGGTGGGGGGACGGGTGACAACGGACTTCGACGAGCACCATAGAAGAGGGGGAAAAGAAAAAGCTTTTTTTCGACGTCCATGTTACATCCCTCAACGGGTCGGCGAAGAGATACGCGAGCAATGCAACACTGGAACCACCCTCAACATCCGCAATATCCATGCTTCCAACTCCCGGCCGGAGAGGCACATGTATCAAAACCTAGGTACCCATGTCCGGATGGTGAATGGATAATGGTTTACAGATATGGATAGAAAGGGAACCAGGTGCTTGCTTGGAGCGTCTTGGAGCGTGGGTATGAACGCAAGCACCCGCCCACTTGGGACCAGGACCAGGTCACGGCATTGGAGGATGGCCCGTGGGAGATGGGAGGTCCCCGATCCCGGCACGTTCCCCCCCCAAATCTCATCTTGTCAACACAGGACCCAGCCAGCCCAGACCAGGGTATTTCTATATGTATGTACCACTGCCTGCTCGTCATCTCTCACAAAAACGTATCCAGAGTACCCCGATGCTGCAGACTGCAGATACCAACCAGGTCGGGAATCTTTTTTTTTTTTTTTTTTTTCCGTTACAAGCCGTTGCGCTGCTATCCACCATCGTCGTCCTGAATTCTGCTACACAAAGTTTGTTTCCAAGGAAGCTCGTCCCCTGGACGAACGAAACTTCGCCATCTCTGTTTCCAGTCTTTGCTGCTTGAGGCGCAGCCAAGAAGAAGGAGAAGGAGAGAGCTGCATCGGCCTACCTACTCTGACAGAGAGCTGTGGAGGAGTTGCTCTGGCATCTGCTCTCAACACGCCTTCTACCGCCATTTCTTCCATTGTCGTCCGCCTGCAGCCGTCGAAATATTTCTGCAACACTCCAGCATCGCCTTTCGCAAACTAGATACGAGCATTGCACGAAAGATACGCTACGCTACGTACTGTTCCGACAGCAAATTGATTGCGTGACCTGGTTCTGCTGCCATTTGTCACTGCGTCCGTCTCGATTCGTCCACTGGCGAGGTTCTCCCTCTCCCTCTCCCTCTCCCTCTCCCTCTCCCTCTCCCTCTCCCTCTCCCTCTCCCTCTCCCTCTCCCTCTCCCTCTCCCTCTCCCTCTCCCTCTCCCTCTCCCTCTCCCTCTCCCTCTCCCTCTCCCTCTCCCTCTCCCTCTCCCTCTCCCTCTCCCTCTCCCTCTCCCTCTCCCTCTCCCTCTCCCTCTCCCTCTCCCTCTCTCCTCTATCACACAAGACACATCGACCTATTCCAGCATATCCTTGCACTCTCAGCTTCTCCCCTCTCCGGACAGTCCGTTATCTAGCGCTCTATTCGCCCATTCATTTCTGGAATTCGGTCTTCTTTCCCACCCACAGACAAACGAATACTGTCTGATCCAAACGGACACGACTTGAATTATTCGACAGTCGGTTTTGATTGTTTTTTATTACGTCCACCTCTACATGCCATGCCGTCTGGGTAATCGACATCGTTTATCCAAGCCATACGGTGACCTAGTACAGGACTCTGGTTTCCAATCCTTTTCCTTTCCCTGGCCGATGTCTCAGGCCAAGTTGGAATCAAAGAGGACTGAGAGTCCCTTTCTAACCATTTCTCACTCCGTCCAACTGATACGTCACCTTACCGTGTCCGTTGCTGTCAAGGACCGCCGCAGCAACATAGACCTGACAACGACCGCTGTATCAGAGCTGCTCAGCAGGAAGCCGCTCAGTTCTCCGCCTGCTTCTTACGAACGGCGATCCAATTTCCCTTCCGAGCCACAGTCCTGGTTTTTGTCTCGCTCGAGTGCCGTCCCGTTTGGATGCTAGCAGGTGCCGCATCACTGTCTGCTCCTATTGCGCCTCGGGCAGGTACATACACTTCACTCGGTGGCTTCAACACCTTTGGTCGTGCCCTCGGAAACAGCCGCTTGGAAAAAGTTGGACACGGAAGATCGATCCTAACCTGTACGAAACCGTTCCCCCACGGCGCGACTCTCGACTCCCGCGACTATTACCCGGTTCTGCCCGCCCTCGTCTCTACGTCTACCCTCACACCACGAGGCAGCCAGTGTAACCTCTTCAGGGCAGGCACGTGCTAACCTCGACCTTCTGTCAGCTTCTTGGTTCTCCTCAGTTGTCTAGAAACCACTCCTCGACATTCCTATCGCATCTATCTCTCTACTCAACCTTGTTTCGGTCCGTCCATAACCGTCTCTCCAAAGGTCCCACTCACACTGCGCAGTAAGGAGGAACCCCCACGTGCCCATGTTCCAAGTGCGATGATAATCTCTGTCTGACCCGAACTCAGTTACACGTATTCAGAATCTTCGGACTTGAGTCCCATCCATAACCTACTCACCGACTTGTCTCTCTTCGTCCTGAGCATTTTCCAAGACTCGGCAAGCAGCACGTCGAGTCTCAACTGTGAGAGAAATCGGCGCGTGCAAGATTGAGTAGCTGGGGGCTTAGCTTAGTTGGCTACCGCTGTCATGGTTCGCGGCGACTGGGCCAGGGAGCCCTTCTCCCGGAACCAGTGGCTTCAGGATCGCGTCTCTGCGGATAACTCACCTATCGAGCCTCAACCTCGATACCATGAGCCCAACGATGCCCGTCGGCCGCCCCTCGTGAGTCTCGAGGCACGCTTCGCCGGAGGCAGCATTTCATTCAGGCTGACTTGTTTCTACCAACAGAACATAGAAAAGGCTCTGCGGGAACATTGTAACATACCCGCCCGCTACTATTTTGTCGCAGCAATTCTGGACGATGGTACGGCGCAAACTTTCTCGGGTCCAGGTCGCTTCCACTTGGCTCCTATTGAAACGTTTTTCAGCATGGATGCATTCCGCCGGCAAGTAAAGAGAGCAGAATCCGGTAAGACGAGAGACGCCAAAGTTCCTAGGGCCTTCCGTATTCCTGCCGCTGCTTACACTTTTCATACCGCAACAGCTGCCAGTCCTATCCACGAGGATGATCCTCACGGCTTCACCTACGGTCCTGGTTTCGCACAACATTCTTTGGAGCGACGTCGACAAGGAAGCGAGGCGTTTGGTGACGACGACCATGTCGGTTTTGGCCCGCGTAAGAGGAGCCGGGGCAACCGACGGCCGATAAACGACGACGATGGACCGACTGTCACGGTTGGGGCGACAAAGAGGGCTTTGAGGATCGGCGATTCGCGCGAGGTGTGGGACTTTTACGACCAACGATTCAGGAATTGCCAGCAAACCGCCTGTAAGCTCATAGCGAAGGCGTGGGTCAAAGTCGTCGAGCCTAAGAAACAGACCAACCACCCCTATACCGGGCAGGACGAGAAGGCGCCAGAGTGGTGGCCGAAACCTTGGGGTCCGACGAAAGATGAGAAGGTGAGGCATAAGGAACCGGATCATTTGTACAAGAAAGGTGCGTTCACATGACTTCCTCGCTCTGCTGAACTTGTTCCGCGAAACCGTCGGCTTACTTTGTACCATTTCTCTCCCTTTCCTACAGAACGAGTCCACCTTCTCTGTCACATTCTACGAATGATTGTGGAGCCCAACGAGAAGCAACATCCCTCTATACGGAAAATGAAACTGGACATTCAGAAGTTGAAGGAGGCAACTGATGAGGCGTTGTCGTCGTTCTTTTCGGGTAAAGAGAATGAAAAGAATGCGAAGAAGAAGCCTTATCTCGACGAGATCTTCAAAGTCGCCTTGCAAGAGCAACGGTACAAACATGGAGAGATAGGTTAGTTGGGTCCATGAAACCATCGCGTCTCTGGGGCTCTTGCTTTGATTCTGACCTTGCCACGACAGATGGGGACTCGTTGATATACGTCATGGCAGAGGATCGGTTTCCCGAGACGGGCATTTCCGAAAACGATGATGGTGGGATACTTACCAAGGAAGACGGCGACCCCCCATCCGTCCCGTCGAGTGCTTCTCCATCGAAAGCATCGCAGCACGACGTACTACTGCACAGAGTACATGGCTCCAACACCGACCATAGTCAAGGAGGTCATATGCAGGGTGGCGGCTCCTTTGTCGGCGAAGTAGCCGTAAGGGAACCATCACATTACGCGGCACAGATGCTTCCGCCCACCATGCATTCCGAAGCGCACTTCGTACAGGGCGGCAACCTGCAGCACCCTTCCGGGGGCCTGCCAATGCACGACCTGGTACCGAGCCCACAAGACGGTCAACGGCGCACCTCTATCTTTGGCAGCCCAGCGGAGTACTCGAATGCGCCGCCCGCCGCCGCGGTCTACACGCCAGCGTGGCACCAGCAGCACCAGCAGCACCCAGGCACTACGGCGCCAGACACGACATCGATGTACTCGTTCCCGTCACATCCCCCCGCGGCGGCAACACAGGGACATTTCGGTGGGCATCCGAACGTGCCTGTTGCCCAGGGTCAGTATATGGGGTCTCAGTACGACGGTTTGGCACGCGGCAATTTTGATCAGGCGACCTTGTTTCGACACCCGGCCGGCCCCAGCCCTGCCCAAGTTCAGGGCCCTCAGGGCTATCCAGCTTATCTCCCTCCCGACGGACGCAGCATGTCCAGTTGGAACCCGGATGCCAAAGCCGAGCCGATAGCCCGGCCGACCAACTCCCATCATGGGCAGTATCCGTAACACGACATATACTAGAGTTGCGGCTTTGGTGAGAAAGGAACGTTGCTGAACATGACATAATTCGCACCCATGGGGTCTAGACTGGTGTCAGAGTGGTCACACCACAATTGGAGTCGTGGCCTTTTTTTTTCCTTTTTTTCCCCTTTTTTTTTCTTCTCTCTTATGCGCTTCGTTCGCATACAATATCTCGGACTGCCGACTTCATTAACGGGAGAGAAGGTCGCACGCAGTACGAATGAAGCGAGTAACTTTGAACCGGAGTTCTTGTCTACAGGTATCTTTTTGGTTTTCAAGCGAAATTCATCCTTTGCCTACGCGGGGAGAAGAGAAGCGAGAACAACGTGGTCGTTCATTTCAACTGGGAATCCATCCAGCATGTCGGGTCGGATGCACAGGGTAATCACGGGCTACCTACGGTACCGATGGGGGCAAGACGCCAGGTGTCTTCTCGGGGTATGTTTAATGCATTAGCGAGCGGTGCGAGAAAGGGCTGGTCGGCTGTGACGAGACAACTCTTTCCCCGGTGGCATACGCGTGGACCGGGGAGCAGAGTTACTCATTTAGTTTCATGGTTTGCCGTGAGCCTTATAGTTTTCTTGTTCTTGTGAATTGCTTTGGCATCGGGACGGGTTCTGACGGTTCCTTTGGCGTACTGTACTGCCACGCCATATACGGCAGCAGGCAAGCCAGATGGTGCAAAGGATAGGGTTAGGGGTATATTTTCTACTAATTGCCCCGGCGTGGACTTTTGGCGTGATGAAGGGCCGAGTACTGAGCTGGTTGATTTTGATCGGCTGCCCAGGGCCCAAGGATCTATCTATTCACGTTACAGCGTATGGACATGTTACATCTTGGGGTAGTTGGATACCTTCGTGAACATTTTATTACAGCAAATTCTACGCAGTTCTCTGCCGAGCACAGCTTGTTCTCGTCCCTTGTCTTGTATCAGTATTATTCCACCTCAAAGATGCAGGGACGAATGTCAGAGGTCGCAGATGTTCACTATCAGGACGAACTGGGTTTTGAGGATCTCTTGACGGACTAATTGATTTGGTCTTGATATAAATCGAACGATGGCCGGGGGGGGAACCACAAAAGGAAAGCTCTTATACTTCTTGAAGTGGTGGATGCTGCGACGGAAGGATTCGCCAAGCTTCGGATTCCGGAGCACGTACGGAGTATGTACGGAGTACGCAATACCCAACGATGACATGTACGTGGTATGTATCTATGTAGGTTATTGCCTGCAGGCCACTGGGGTTAAGGCAGGGGAATCGGGAGAAGAATGAAAAATGATGCAGGCGAGCAACTACCGTACTCTGTAAAGGTGGCTGCATGACAGGTCGCTTTTCTACAACCTGTCCGTCTCGATGACAGCTGTAAGGTAGCAAGGTAGCAAGTAACAGAAGTAATAGATGTACTCCGGAGAAGATAATGCTGGGAGACGAGGCCTCTTTTTGTTCCTTTTTTTTGTTCCTTTTTTTTTCTTTTTTTCTTTTCTCCCCTTCTTGTCTTTTTTTCCCCCTTCACCGGTACGCCAAATGTATGTGTACGTCTCAGGTACTGGTCCTATACGGACGCGAATCGCAGTTGATGTGGTGGACGGAATATTGGGCCTCGTATGTATTTTCGACGTCCAACAGAGGGAGGCAGTGAGAGGACACTTCTTTGGCTCTGTGTATCCGTATTCTGCGTGGATTATATAGCCTTTGATGGTGATTTCGCAGGAGTAGACGTCGAAATAGGGTAGGTAAGGTAATTAAGGTAGTTAGTTGCTGGTACTTTTTTGTCCACTGACTAATTCCACGTGTAGACCAGAGTACACCGATCATGCATCTACGAATCTGACATGTGACGACTCTTTTGATGGTCCCGATTTCGTCACAACGAACATTTCTCCCACCCTTCTCTGCCAACCTTTCCACCCCTTTTGGTATCCTAGCCACCTTTCTCTCGCTGCGTATTTTGTACATGATCACCTGGCTAAGGTACCGACCGGGCTAATGACCCTGGTGACGTCCCCGTTGCAAACAGTATGTACACTACAGTACCTTACGTTGTATGCCGCCGCGCAGGCAAGCAGATCACCCGCCCACACCCCTGACTGCCAGCCTACTTCGTCCATCTGCATGATGACTGTGCCCGTATGGTGTGCTGAGAACACCCATGACCTGGTGGTTGGTGACACGACGAGAGGACCGTAGCTTGCTGCTGTCATGCACACCTACTACGTAGATCTGATCCGTCAGATTCGGCAGGCAACATGCAGGAAGCTGGATGGGTTAGGTACGTCGGTTGGTCTGCTATCACTTTCGGAAACCGGTGACCCTTTGGGAGGTTGGAGAGCTGAAAGGGAGAGACCATATTACTTAGTCTGGCTTCATTGGGATGACCTTCATCTGACGAGGTAGACGGGAAAAGGCAAATATTCCCCTTTTTTCGGTTTTTTTCTTCGGGGGGGTTTCTTCTTCTTTTTTCCACCGACAGTAACCGAGGTGGTGCGTTACTGGAAGGAAGGCTGATTAGAAGGGGAAACAACCTTAATTATCGGACTTGTCTCTACCGTTACTACGGAATCGACCAACTCATGTACGTGCTCCGAAGGGGGAACAAGCCAGACGCAAACAAACAGTCGAGTCTGTGCGAGGGACCGACAGGAGAGCTATCGATGCGGAGGCGGCGCGAGAGTGGTCGTAAAGAGATAAACCTGTGACTTGTAACATGTAGAAACAACGGTCGGATCGTCCCTTTGGATCATCAATTCTCTTATTCTGTTCCCCCCTCGCCGGTTTTGAAGGCTCCGTTTGTCCACCTGCACTTCTAGGGCACTGGGTTTTCATCCCACACACGAGTAGGTCTGCCCGCATACGCATATGCCAAAAAGCAAACAGTCAGTTTCCCTCCCTAACGGAACCGACACGCGTCCACTCGTGTCAAGGCAGAGCCAGCACCCGCATTTCTTGCAGCGAGTGGGAGAACAAGTGTCATCAAAAGTACACAGCGGCACCTTGTCCTACCTCTATCGCCGGGCCCTCGAACGGGAGGAGCTGAAATGGGGAGGAGCCCGCTCGAATAGAAAATGAGCGAGCGGCCTGATGCAGGCGAGCCTACGCACACATTGACGCACATGTTACGCGGAAGAAGCTCAAAAGGGGAAGTAGGATTCAGTGTACGTGATACGTCCAGGGGCGTGAAGCCAACAAACATGGTAATACGAAGTAAGTGCGAATACTTCGAGGGTTTACGGGTGGTGAAAAATGAGACAGTGAGTGACAAGGCTACAGCTTCAATCCGAGACCTGAAAGTTGATGCTCCCACGTACCGCCAACCAGCCCCGAGGCCTGCCTACCTTACTTCTCCCATATTATTCTCCTGTTGCCAATATGTTCATTTGTCCAACATCATCACAGTTCCATGTCCTACGATCCGTGAACAAGATGGTTGTAGACCAACCTTCAAGTCGATCGAGGAGCACCTGGATAGATGATATATTAACTGAAAGGTGCATTAAGCGCCGGCCCATACGACGCAGGTTCTTGAGGCGACCTCCCATTCTATGGAAAAGGACCAGACAACACTGCCCTGTGCACCCCCCCCCACTCGAGCAAAAAAAAAAAAAAAAGATTTCCCAAGCACAAGGGGATGTGTACACTCTTACATCAATACATGGAGCCATCTCTGCACGCCGAAGCCGGCCATATTGGATGCATCTCCTCGATAATTCTCTCGCACTCGAGGACAAATGACCACCGGATTACAACCTTCAACCTCGTGCACTGTGGCTCGAATAATTGAACGCCCCCGCTCCCAACGCCAGTAACACCAGACCTGAAAACATGCAAACAAGACACTAAGATAAGAAAGGGAAAGACGGCATATCGCTGACCTGATCACGTCACCGCTGGGAGACATGTCCATTGAATGCGAACGCCCGCGTGAGATTTGATTTGGGACGGCCACAGTCCCAAAGTCATCTTGTGCAACCGAAAAAAAATAAAAAAAAAATAAAAAATTTGGCCAGTTGGCCCTTGAAGATCTGTGACCACCTTCGCATCGGGGGTGAGAGACTTGAAGAGCTTCTTCTTTTGCCGTCCCTTTTGGTGCGGCGTGATGTCTCGTGGTCTAGTCAGCGGTGTCGTCGCCAGACCGCTCCCCATTGCCGTGTGTCGTTCCGCGTTAAGGAGGGTTCCCGAGGTGAGCCGCCAGGAGGACCACAGCGTAGGCCGTTTGAAGCGTTTTTTCCTTTGGGTTTCTGAGCGGAACTCAGCGATTGGGTAATTGCGTGGCTCTACCCATATACCGTGGCCGTACATGGGTTGCGCCGGTTGGCCAGAAGAGAGTGCACAGCTAGCCCTTTCACCTCGCCCTGCGGTGGCGCCTCGGAGCGATACGCGCCGTGAAGTGAGCATCTTAATCTGCGAAAGGCCGGGTTTTGCCAAGAAGGGGAGTAAGATAAGAAGGCGCAAATTAGACTGAACTTGCAAACTTTGCTGAACCTGAGTGTAGGAGGCCTGGGTCGAATGCAGACACGCTGGGTTCCGGTTAGATCTCAGTCTGGGACCGAGTCGAAGCATGAGATGAGACGACAGCCCCTAAAGTGTCCTTGGCCTTGAGCAAACATGGCGTTTCTGGCGGGAGGATTGAACGTCTAGAAGCTAAGGACGCTGAGACTCTTGGGAAGGGACCCTTTTTAGGTCGAAGAGGCAGGCTCATCTTTGTTTTGCTGCGGCAGAGAGAGACCTGCGTTTTGGGCAATCCGTTTCCAAGTTTCCAGCTCCTTGTAAAGACGCTCGCATTCTTGCTTCAGCTTGTCATTGGAAGCACTCAGCTCGGCAATGGCTTGCTCAGTCAATAGTTTCTCCAGAGTCCACTTCTCCAGGTTTTGCGCCTCGTTCTCCTTCAGCTGGTTGATGAAGGTGACAGCACGCTGGAGAATGGAGCCCTTGTTCTTTTCGCAGTTCGGGACAATCTTGGCCAGTTCGTTAATACCTTCGTTGATCGTCTCGCGACGTCGGCGCTCGACTAGAGTCTTTGAGTTAGCACGTGGCTCTCTCGATCCATCACCAGTTCTTGCTCAGAACGGGTTGCTGCCTCACCTTCCTTGTGATTATCCTTGCGCATCTTGTGCCACTCCTCCGAACCAACGTCCGGCTTGGGCTTAGGCTGAGAGCCCGCGGAACCAGTGGAATACCGATGCTGAGTGGGCTGCTGCTGAGGGGGCGGGGGCTGTTGTTGTGGTTGGTGGGCCTGGTGTGCCGGGAGCGTTTGATGAGTTGCGAGAGGTTGGTGCGCTTGATGCGGCGTATGGGCCTGATGACCTTGATGAGGTGAATGGACCTGATGAGCCTGATGGGGGGGCTGGTAGGCCTGGTGGGTCTGGTGCGGTTGATGAGACTGGTGAGGCTGTAATCCGTTGGTGCCAGGGCCGGGCGGACTGTCCGCCATGGCAGGCGCATCCATGATACCATCTGGCTGAGTCACATTCGGCTGGAACGTGTCTTGGGGGTGGTTGCCCTCGTTGGCGGTTTGCGCGGCGAACTGCTCTTCCGTGCTGGGAGGGATGTGAATGCTGGGGTACATTGATCCCAGGGCCGCGGCCGCGGTGCTGGAGGCGTTGGCTGGATCTGCGGCCTCGGAGTGCTCAGCAGCTGTGGCTTGCTGGAGAGCGTTGAGGTCGGCAACGTTGACTCCATTCGCGGCAGCTGCATTTGCGGCCTCGACGGCGTTCTCGATAAAGGCGGTGGTATCGACGTCCGAGGCGGACATGACGGCGGGGGGAGCGGCATTCTTCTTGGCCCGCCCGGGACTTTCCTGCTCCGATATGGACCGCTTCCGCTTGAGGCCTGGGGAGCCGGGCACTTCGGGAGCCCCTGAGGCTTGCGCGAGGGCTGAGAGATCGGGATGGTCGTCGGCCATGGCTAGTGGCTAGGATCGTGTCTCGATGAGAGGAATTATGCTTGAAGAAGCGAGCTTAGGAAAGGAGGGGAGGTTAAACGTCCAGGTATCTCTATTAACCAGGTTAGTAGCATGTTAGGAGGGAGTGAGTGCAACCGTGTGAGAAGCTCGATGCTATGCTCTACGATAAATGTGTAGCATGCTACACTCAGAGGAACGTGTTGCTGTGCTGGTCTCGTGTAGTCAATGACGCCAAAGCCGCACGGAGCAGAGGAGTCACAAGCAAGCAATCAAGTTGTCGATGGCCCGGGCTTCGCAAGCCCCAGCAGCCAGGCACTTGTCCTTTGGCTGTCGCGTGGTAGCAAATGGGCTCTTTTGACCAGGTTCAAATGAACTTTTGAGAGGGGAAAGGAAAACAGGATACTGGTAGCCAGGCTAGTCGTCCGTCATTGCAGTAACCTTTGCGACGATTGACGCGACGATGGGACGACCTGGATAAAGATGCATGATGATGGATGCGGTGATACGAAGAGCTCGATGGATGCCCAAGCTCAGGTCGCTTGACCGGAGGGAATTGAAGTAATTGAGCGATGCATTGTCGGATGTCAGGATACTCGGGGGAAAGAAAAGAAGAAAAAGAGAGAAAACCGGACGATCCGATGACGATAGGTGCAGGGTCCGAAAAGGCGACCCAAGACTGGGATGTGATAAACCAGGAAACCAACATACCTTTCAGATCATGTGCTTGAAAGCGTGACGTGACGATGGATGATGGAGATCACGATGCACGTGAGAAAAGGCGGGAACTACTAGTGTACAAGATCTCGTGATATCGCGAGGCGCGTCTGCAAGCCCGGATAAATTGTTAGAAGAGGGAGCCAGTATTGGTTAGCGTTCTGCCGCGATTTTCCCACTGGAGGGAGAAAAATGTTGGGAGAGGTGAAGGAGTAGAAGAAGATGTAGGCAGGCTGCACGTTCGAGAGATGCCGCGAGCTTAATGTGTCGCTTTAGTGGAAGGGGGAACTTGAAGTATATCTTTCGAGCTCGACGCGACAGCCGGTTCAGGTAAATGGGCTGGGCAACTGGGGGGGGAGGGGGGATGGGCAGTCGCAAATGCAAGGTCACGAGGTAAGTCTTGAAGGAAGGCACGTGCAAAAGTGGGTGAGACTGGACATAAATAATCAGGGCAGATCAACTTTTTACGCAGTCTTGGCTCCACAGGTACTTAGATACTTCGTGTCTTCTCAGGCTCGACGATACACGTAAGGTAATGGACCTTGGCGGAGGTGGGAAGAGTAGTGCGGTAGCCTTAGGCAGAAAAAGGAGTCGAACTTGAGGTCGAAGCTAGAGGCACCCAATCAGAATCAAGTATTGGATGCCCATGGCCCCTCAACTGATGCTGACGGGCTGCGTGTGGTGTGTTCTTCCCGTATATGCCCCGGTCCAATCAGAATCCAGATAGGAGTCATCCACTGCTCTAAGGTAGGTATCGCCCCCAGCGTTTTGGCGGGTCCCCCCTCCCCTTCTTTCTTTGCTCGTTAATATTAGGTACCTATCCGTATTTTGTGTCAGCCTCGATCAGCGCCGTCACCAGGGCCAGCTTATCAGGAGCACCTACAATAATCTCGTCAGGTATGCCACCATGGGAGGCATATATGGCTGCGCCCTGGATGGAATCTTTTAGTCTTGTTTCGGAGATTCAACGTTCTTGAAAATAGATCAAAACTGCCTAGACCTGCTCTATCCTGGGTAACGACGTGGATAATGCTTCAACCGAAGACTACCCCCCTGACCGGGCCTAACAACAGCCGAACATCTCCACCATTTTCCGGTACAAGTAGAACTGGTTAGCCTGTTACTTTCCCGTTGTTTTGGTGTTGTGTAGGCATCTCCCCACATCATGATTATCCTCATAACTGAAGTCCGAGTCTTTTGACTGGTGCTATCGGCGTGATATAAGGTCCTGTGTTGTGTCCGCCCTGTGGTAATAAGAGTATACCTCCGGTACTCTTCCCCGCGTTCCACTGAACGTTCGCTCGACACCCACGGTCTTTCCGCGCTGGTTTCTATGAGTGCCATGTCTCGAACTTTGTGAGAGGAGTTGAGAGTTTTGCTAGGGGTACTAGGAAACAAGAGCACCCCAGGGATCATCCGCGCCTACGTTCTTAAGAAAGTGGTCGCGAACTCGTGAAAAAGCGCGTCTGTCTGCGCTACCTTACCTAATGCTCTTGCTTGGTTCCACGAAGAGGAAGGTACGAAGTACTTCATATCCCTCAGCCAGTGTTATCTTGTTGCCCCACCCGAGGCCTGACAGACACAATATGTACCTACTCTCATCAGCGGCCAAATGACTACCTACCTTACTCGTCATGTCTACGGTAAGGTACGAAGGACGGAGTACGGGCCATAGCTTAAGCTTCTTCTCCTCCAGACATGCTTCGTAATAAATACATTCTAAGAACACTTGTGTCACCAGCTCCAGCTCCATCATAATATATACGCACTTCACGTCCATTCAACCACCTTATTTGTTATTAACAGCCCCGAGAAGCGCCTCCTCCTCTACTGCATTTTCAGGTTGTCTGCCATCGGTGCAGCAGCTGCCCAAGAGTGACCATGGGTGACCACGAGCATTCGAACATCAAGCATCAGGAACATTTTCACCTTGTAAGAACGCCATCCCTCTTTCCGTCTTTCCCTACCTCTGCTTTGGTTTCGGACGTGACCATGCGTTCGAAGAGAAGTCGGGCTAAGTGATTGATTTTGTCTTCTTCTTCTTCTAACCTAGGACCAACCACTTCTCCGTCTTCCCTACGAGCTCCTGCGGAACAACTTCCGTGCTGCCCACTTCACCATCGAGAAGGAGAGCACCTCCATCAAGTCTCTGCTCAAAGAGACAGCGACTGCCTCTGTTAATGGTCGTGCCACCCCAGAGAATGTCCTCAAGAATCTCGATACCATGATCGCCAAAATGCGAGGCGTGAAACGGAAGCTCACCGCCCATGCCGACGAAGAGGCCCGCCTATATCACCAATCATCTGCCCGCATCGCCCACCTCGGCGAACTCTATACCATGAAGACCTACGACGACGTCAACTACGAGAGATGGAGCCGCAAGCGGCTCGACCGTCTCATCGTCGACTACCTTCTTCGCCACGGCTGTATCGAGACCGCCCGAACTCTTACCGATGAGAAGGGCATAGACGACCTGGTTGACATCCACATTCTTGCCCAGATGATTAAGATTAGGGATTCCCTGCGGGGCCGCAGTGTTTCCGAGGCCCTCGCTTGGTGTCAGGAAAACAAAAAGGAGCTGCGAAAGATGGACGTATGTCTCCCGTATTCTGTTCCCCCCTCCCTTACATCGGAGCACGTACAACTGACACAGGGCTTTCTTCGGCGAACAGAGCAACCTCGAATTCATGCTCCGCTTCCAACAATATATCGAGCTCGTCCGGACACCGTCACCGCCAAAATTACTTGAGGCCATCGCCCATGCGAAGAAGTATCTGGTCAGCTACAAAGGCACGCACCCAGAAGAGCTCCGCAAGGTCTGCGGTCTACTCGCATACCCGCCTAGAACCGCCGGGGACAACGCCGCATACGCAGAACTCTACAGCCAGGATCGTTGGAACATGCTCGCGAATCTCTTCACCGAGACCCACAACCAGCTTCTCTCACTTCCTCCCATACCACTCCTTCATATAGCCCTCTCGATTGGCATCTCTGCCCTCAAGACTCCGGCCTGCCACCAACACACCGCGGCGAGTACTGAATATACAGGCATGAGTACATCCATGCAGGATGCCACCGGCTCTCCGACCCGGTTCCCCGGCAACCGTGAACCATTCGATCCAAGCCACCTCCAGCGGCAGCGGAGTCCTGTCCCTGTCCCTACTCAAGCAACAGTCTCCAGTCCCGCCTCGGACTGTCCGATCTGTTCCACGGAGCTGAACGAGCTCGCTCGCTCAGTACCCTGCGCTCATCACACTAAGAGTCACGTGGACTCTGACCTCCTCCTTCTTCCCAATGGCAACGCCTTCGGACTCGAGCGCCTGGTGGCTCACGCCGTCAAGTCTGGACTGCAGCCCACCGAGTACGTCCGTGATCTCAAGACTGGCGAAGTATACCGCGCTAGTGAACTGAAGAAAGTTTTCATCACCTGAAAACTGCTCACGCGAGTCCCTATGGGTTATCACTATCCTTGGCCTGCTTGGCCTATTTGGCGGCGTTATGTTTGTCTTAAGCCGCTCAGATACTTTTAGCACATAATTACTACCTGCAAGATGGGATGCACAGCCGTTGCACACCATCCATTGGGTCAGGCATGGCGAACGAAATGGGTAATGATGGGGCGTTTTGGGGTTTCCGGGTTTCACCGGGGGCGGGGGTTTCTTTTGCGACAAAAAGATGCTTGTTTGGATGGCTTGGAGTATCCGGATTCAGCGATTGACGGCTATGTTACACTGTTTGGTTCTTAGGTGGTAAAAATGCGAAATACGATTACACACATGAAAACTCACCCCCGGCGCCCTCAAATGGATATGCGACTCGGTTCTCTCGCTAAAGGACCGTTAGGACGTAGTAGAGACCAGATAACAGCAGTCAGTTAACTATCGTATGTGCCGAAATTTCACCTACGAAGACCCCTTTCCCCGTTCCAGTCCCTGGCTAGTCTAGAATTATTCCACAATACAGTACAAGATGAGAACGCATGTCGGTCAGTCGGATCTTATCGGGCGACGGATCAAGTGTCGGTGGGGTTCCTCATACAAAACAACATATCCCTTCCGTCCACCGAAAACCTTTAACCCTTTCCCTAACCATATAAAGCCCAATGTAGCCCTGGCCTTTACCAACTGGGGACTGCGGCTGGGTAAAAACCAACGGGATGGATGGCGGTAAGACGCCGACACACACACACACACACACACACACACACACACACACACACACGCCGCCCGTTTGGTCCGTCCTTGACTTCATCATTCCGTAAGAAGAAAAGAAAAAAAGTCCCCTGCGCACACATCATCTTAGAATCCCGCCGAAGCCCGCGCGCCGACTCATGCTCTTTAGCGGCTGCCCCCAAAGGCAAAGCTTCCAAAGACACCACCCCCGCCGCCGGGCGTCACGGGACCCGTGTTGAAGCCGTTGGTGTTATGGGACTGCGGGGCCGGCGTGCTCGCAAGCCCGACGCTGACCGTGTTGGGAGTGCTAGGAGCGCCGCCGTTTTGCCCGTTGCCGCCGTGCGCGTTGGCGTTGCCCTGGCCGGGCGTCTGTTCTTGCGGGTTTCCGGAGGGGTTATTGCCACCGGGCCCTGCCTGTTGCTGCTGCTGGTTGGACAGCATGTGGCCCACGAGCAAGCCGCCGTCGGGGACGCCTAGGCCCCAGACCCTGCCGAGGTGGTCCTCGGCAATTTCGCCGTTGAAGATGCGCTCGCGCATCTGGAAAAACACCTTGCCGGTGATGAGGGAGTCGGAGCCGGCCTGGTGAGCGGCCCCGACGCGCTTGACCTTCAAGGTCTCCGCGATGTTTTCCAGGCCGGACTTGAGCTCGAATTTTTGCAGGATCTCGGCCGTGGTGGGGTCGTTGGGTGTCAGCAGTCCCGAGTTGTGGAGCTTGATGGCGTGCTTCATGAGATGCTTGACGTCGTAGGTCGAGGGGAAGTAGAGCTTCATGATCCTATCGAAGTCGACCTCGTCACTCGGGAGCGGCTGGCAGAAGAGGAGCTTGGTAAGATAGCCAAAGTCGTAGCCGCCGTGGAAGGAAATCCACCGAACGTTCTCGAAGCAGACCAAGCCCGAAGGGATCAATAAGCTCGCGAATTCATGAGGGTCAATACCGTCACGTTCTAGGAGGTTGAAGTCGATGCCGGCCGTCTGGAGCGACTCGACCGACTTCTCGTTATACATGTCGTCCTTGAGGGAGAACTTGAAGTTGAACTGCCACGCGTAAGGGAACGGTCCTGGTTGGGTCATGCGCCGTCCCGCCATGCCGATATCTGCGCCGTCGCCGGAATTTGGTCTTGCGGGAGGAGTCTCGCCATCCTCGTTGAACAGCGCTAGTCCAATCTGGATGACCTTGAGCATGTCGACGTTGGTCCGTAGGCATTGGTAGTGATAATCGCTCTTCCCTCTGAACCCGCCCATCGGCCGCGAGACGATACCTGGAAATTCGGTGTCCTAATACGTTTTCGGGGCACAAGTTAACAGGGAGAACACCTCAGCCAGGACGGCGCCCCAATCCCCCCAGCTGTTGTATGTATATGGGAATGTTTTGCTCACCATGGCGATGTAGGGATATTTGTCCACGAGGTCTCGTAACACGGCCATTTCTTCGTGAAGATTATGCTTCCACACCTCTCGTATTCTGGCCTTCGTGCCGGACCGAATGTTGGGGCCACCGTGGTCGGCAGCGAAGTTGTGTTGCGGTTGGCCGTGTTGCTGCTGTTGCTGGTGGAGACCGGCTGCCTGAAAACCCATGCGCGCCGCATGGCTCCCTAGGCCGGTCGCGTCGTTGACGCCGACACCGACGCCAACGCCAACGCCAAACCCAGCTGCGCTCAAACCGGCAGCGACACCGAGGACATTGTTGTTGGCCGAGAAAGGGTTGATTTGGGAACTGGCGTTGAGGTAGGAAGGGTTGGTACCCAAGGGGGGGCCATGGGCGGCGCCATGTCCTTGGGCGTGGGCGGAAAACTGTTGATGGTAGGGCGGTATGTTATTAGGCCCACTGGGGAACCTAGGCAGCGGAGGCGGCATGCCAGGTTGGTGGCGCCGAGAGTCTGGTAGGTGAGGGTTGTGGTTATTGGTGAAGGGAACGAGGTCAGACTCGAGTTGACGGCGGGGGCGGCGACACCCACAGGAACTAGGAGGTCTCTAACGTGCTCTGTTCCGGTATTGGATCGAATGTAGAGGGGGGTGGGAGTGCCCTCTGTCCTGCATTTGCGACAGCGATGGTCCAAAGGGCGGTATATGTTTCCTTTGTTCCCGGTCGACCCTTTGGAAAGGCGGGAAGTTGGATGACGGGTGTGGATCGGGTGCGATGCCGGCCTCGAAGGGAAGGGGGGATTAGAGTAGTTTGTCGTAGGAATATGGCAGCGGACACAACTGTAGGGTCAAAATTAATTGAGATCGGACGGTTAAGTCGTCTATTTTTACGGCTCACAGTTTCTAGGGAAATTGTTTGGTTGAGGAAGGTTTGGTTGTACGATAGTTGGGAGTCGGAGTCGGGAATTTCGCTATTGGCGACGAAAGGTGAGCGATGAAGGAAAACGTGACTTGTGCTTCGTGGTGGTTGCAAGTTGAGATCTTGGGATCCTTGACTGGGCTGCTGCTCCCACCCACGCAACAAGTGGCGGCCCAGATGGTCCGAGCGTGAGGACTGACCCAATAAAACCTTACGCGATCCACACCGCTACAGTATCGATGTATCATCATACCTACCCGTTTTCAGAGGCAAGAGGTATATGGTTGGCTTAGTCATCACTATCTTCCCAAGGCTGGGGTGCTTTACGGATACCACGGCTACGGACGAATGATACTCCCGAGCGGCTTGTTCGAACAGGACGACTTTGGAAACGACCCTTTCCACCTGGACGAACGCTGGCCGGCATTGAGCAATCATCACAACTTCAAGATGCAACCAACCAGGTACAAAGCTCAATTGAAGCATCCGACTATGGAAAATGATGAGAATGAATACTGACTGACTCCCTCGGTCCTCCAGGCTACGTCTCGCCGCCAAGGGCGAAAGGCCCAACATCACCGGTTTCGATATGCGCGCCCTGCAGGCAGCGACTGGCCAACCCCGTTACGACCCTTGGGAGAGAGCGTGAGTTGGGGATCCCGCCCCGCTGGCTTTCATGTTCATCTCGTGTACATGTTTTCCAAACTGACATTGGCCGACTTGGTTTCCCCCGCACCACAGAGAGGCATGGCGATATACCGGCCGCTTCACCCGCTGGAACCGCTTCAAGAGGGCTTTCCCCGGCCTGGGCATTGCCACCGTGGCTTTCGCCGGATACTGCGCTTACGAGCACCTCTTCCTTAACGACAGCCATCACGGAGACAGCCATGGCAAGGATCACCACTAAGAAAACCCGACGATGTTGTGTATGGGGCGAGGGAGGGGAATATGGAGGGGCATAGAAATGGGAATCGGCACGATTGGCTTGGCTGTACATATACCCGCTAGAGAGACCAAAAAGGAGTCGTCTCCGGGAGAAAGAATCGAAACGTTTTCTTTTGTCATGAACATTGGCACGCCTCATCCGCCGCCTGGATGGACACCAGACCAGGACACAGTCAGTGAAATGCGAGCATGGGATGAGAAGACAAATCGGTGTTTTGTATGAGGGCGAGAAGGGTGGACGCAACGAGCCATAGCCCGCATCCACAATCCTCAACAATCCAGTGGAAAGCACTTGGCGGATCATTTCATGTGTGCCGAACACGAATCCAAATGGCCGAAGAAAGCATGATGCGTCAAATATGACCAGATATTGCTATTTTATCCAGTTACATCTAAGTATTGGCCAGTCCAGTCCAGTCCAGTGGCCGCCTATCGATAGTCATTGAAGTCTCAAACCCCAACTGTGCCAAACCCATCCAGACGCCGAGCCCCACCCTGACACCTGAATCCAGAAGCCAGCTTCATTCTGAAGACTGAAGTTTGTTCTTATCATCATTGTCGTCGCAATCTATGTTCATGACGTGTTATAATCCCAGATATCAGGTGTGGCGCCGAGCCGTGCATCCTCTAATGCCATCCGACAGAAGATCGGAAAGCGAAATGGGATATACGCCCCAAAGACAAAAAAAAAAAAGAAAAAAAAAAAACAGCTCATTCAAGCCGGAGGCCATTCACCACATCCAATGCACCTTCCACGCACGATTCCAGCTCGGCAACTCTAGTCTTGAGCGTCCTGTTCTCCTCACGTAGCAAACTGACAGTGTCCCAAGCGGCCCGCTCGCTGAGGCCCTCACAGTTGCGACACGCCGAGGCTTCCGTTTCACCGGTAATCCCCCTCACGAGTTTCTGGAACGCGCTGATCTGCGTTTGCGCCTGTGGTTGCGCTTGCGGCACCGGCGGCACGGCGCGCAGCTGGGACTTTGATGTGGTTCCTCCTCTTGAGTTTCGCTGCCTCTGCGTGGCCGGATCAGCGGACATTCCCGCCGCTGCCGTGGCTGCCGCACCAGCCTCCAGCCCACCTCCCGAGGCTATGGGATTCGCAGGGCTCCTTGACCTAGAGAACACGCTCGGGGAGTCGCAGATGCTTTCCTCATCCGTGTCGTCAAGGCTGCTGCTGCTGGTCTTGCTCCACCTCTGGCCGTCCTGGTCGTCTTCGGCGCCCAGGTCCTCCGAAACGATGGTGGAGCCGTCGGAGGTGACGGGCGGGACGACTTCGCGGCCGGCCATCTTCTCCTTCTCCAAGGCCGCGCGGAGGGCTTTCATCTCTTGTTCCTGATCCAGAGCCTGGCGCGCCATGTTCTCCAGCTGAAGTTTTAGATGTCTTGTCCTCATCTCCATCTCTTCGATCTCGTCGGCCTGGGCTTCGCGTTCGGAGCGGAACACCTTCAGAGTTGTGCTCTGCTGACGGTAGACGGTCTGGAACTTGGTCAGGAGAGCAGTGGCGGCCGCCTCTAAATTCTTGAACGCGGCAGGGGAGAAAGCATCGCGAGGCCCTGTGGGCGACGAGACGTCTGGGAAGAGCGCTTCCTGGATGTTCAGACTGAGTAGTCCGTCTTGGTCACTTTGCTCGTCATACTCGGCCGGTGCTGGGGTCGATTTGGTGAGGGAAGACAGGGAGGACAGGAAGGCGAAGCGTGATGTGCTCGGAGAGGGGGCGTTCTTGCTGTTTTGTGATTGTCGGGAAGCGTTGGGGGTTCTGCCAATCCGGCTAAAGGTCGACGGTGAAACTGTCGAGCTTCTTGATAGTGGGATGGAGACCTCGGCGTCGGTCGAGGACGGCGACCCAGGAAGCCACCCAGCCAGCATACCTCGCGACGCCGATTCAAGGGTATGCGCAGTCCTGTTGTCTCCGGTAAAGGGCATATCGACAGAATGTGGTCGGAGTCTCCTATGGCCAGTGGATGGGGAAGAGAAGGTCGCAGACGGGCGCAGCTCCGAGCTCGATTGGTTGCGCTGGTGATGGAAGTGTCGTTGGAGGGAGGTCGGGACGGGATGAAGGGAGCTGTCCCCGAATGACATGGGGCGCGAAGCCCCGTTGTCCAGTGTTGCGGCCGGGGGCAGTTGGTGCTGGGCCTGGTCGGCCGGTGAGCGTAACCGCAATGGCGTCCGAGATGTTGTGTAGGCGGAACCGGGTGGTTGGATGTTTTGTTTGTCCTCGAAGCTTTCGAGTTCAGGGTGTGGGGATTCGGAAACGGTAACGACAGCATGTTCAGACCGAAGGGGGGCGTCGGCCACGCAGTTGGAATCGGAGGGGTTTAGCATGATGTGCTAAGGTTTCGTGTTTCATGCGCCTAGGGGGGGGATGTGCGACGCCAACGTTCCGAGGCGGGTGCCAAAAGGGCACTACGTCGATCGACGGAGCGGGGTTTGGAGCGGGGAGCTAAAGGGGGGAATTGGATTGACAGATGGCGGTGGTCCTTGTCCGAGGAATTCAACCGGTCCGTCAGGGGTTGTCGATCAACTCGAGGAGAACGGGCCACGAAAGACGCGTATCGAGTATATTAGACCAAGTGATTGTTTTGATCCGAGCCTCGAGGACCACAAGGCATGGCGTTCGGAGTACAGTCCGACCCTAGAAACGAAGCGGTGAACCCCAGGAAGCTGAAAGGAGTCTAATTTGCTACCGGCCCATTAGAAGGTTGAACTTGGGGCCCGAAGAGTTCAGGAAGTCAACTGGGCAACTGGGCTGTAACGTCGATAAACAGAAGCTTGGGCTCCGGGTCGTTGAGGAATGCCATAGGACGACTCGGAAGCGAACAGCGTGTTCCCCTGCAACTGAATCGAAGAACCTGTCTTCCAACAGGCAAGAAAAAGGTTCAAGGATGAAGGCAAAGAGTTGGGGATTTCCCCTTTTTTTTGTGTTGTTTTTTCTTTCTTTCTTTTTTTTTTTTGGTATGTAAATCACAAGTTTATGTTTGGTATCAATGACTCGGGTTGGACGACGTATTATTACTCAGTAATTCTGTGTCGCTGCTACGGAGACCAGTTTCCGGATTCCTCACAAATTTGACGTCACGTGCGTCTACGTGGCTCGTGGAACAATCTATCAAGGTACCTAAGGTACCTATGCACGTTACGGAGTAAAGATACACAACCACGATGTTAAATGCTCAGAGCTCAGAGCGTGAACTGAAGATAGTAAGCTCCCGATTTTCATTTATTTTTTACGACCAGTGACACCGGTTCTTTACTACCTTACATATAATGCTTCTCTTCCTCTCTCAATCAAGAAGATGGGATATGGGGAACGATACATTCAAGAAGGAGAGGACCGGCTTCGACAGGGCAACTTGGCAGTATCGTCCTCTAGCGTCCCGCTGAACCCAAAGATCTATGATATGCGACAGGTAAAGGAACTTGGACGAGAGGAAGTGGCACTATGGCATCTGGTCTGAGAGGGTTATTGAGAGGGCAACGATGGTCGTGGGCCCTTTGTGACCTTTTCTTTTTTCATTCAAAAAGGGGCCAAGCCGTTAGGGGCTGGGAGGTCGAGAAACTTAGATATCTCGGGGAAAGCTATAACAATACCATGGACGCAGTGACTTCTGTCGTCGTCTCATCCAAGTCACATACCTTAAGGTCGGTCCTCATCTGAAAGAAGTCCATATAGGCCCCCTACTCAGATAATATGGTACCCCCCGCGCCATATCAACCCGCTATATCGAGGGTGATTCGCACGCCATATCTGCCGCTCCTCACTTCCTCTTCCCAATCCACACATTGCACTAATTTGGCCCATTCCTTCTCTTTTATTCTTCCTCTCTTCTCTCGCTCTCGCAGCGGGATGAAGGAAGTGAGGAAAAGAGAAAAGAGGAAAAGAAAGAAAAGAAAAAAAAAAGATAATGATGATGAGACGCTTCAGTAAAAGGATTCCACCATGGTATCCTTCATCGTAGTGTTGATATTGCTGGGACCCGTGCCCTCGCCTAGGCGGAAGACGCTCTCGATAACGCTCAGTTCGGTGGCCGTGGTGTCGAGGCCGGTGACGGCCATCCAATCATTGACGACCATGCCGGCGCCGACGACATTGCTGCCGCGGTTGACGCTGCCGGCGACGAGGGGCACCTGCAGCAGGCTGCTCAGCTCGTCCTGGTCCTGTATCGACGTCTTGGGGTGCACGAGGCCGCCCTGGTTGGACAGCGACATGTACGACCCCACCAGCACGTTGTCGGCGATGGTCTGCCGGAACACCTCGACGCCCAGCACGTCGGCGATGATCTCCTCCGTCTCGCGCTCCAGGTCTGGGTGGATCAGCGCGATGTGGTCGTTGCTGACGATGACGTTGCCGAGCGCCGAGAGCCTTTCCTCTATCCGCTGTATCCGGACCTCGTCCGGTAGACTGTTGCGAAGGTGTTGCAGCTCCTGGTCGGTTGTAGTCGTCGGTACGAGAAGGCCTTTTCGGTTGCTGCTCCGTCGCGCGGGCCACGTCCCACAATGTCAGTCGCGATACCACCGTCCGATTTTCAAGAAAGGGAACCATACCCTGCTGTGAGACGCCCGATGATTCTCGTGCCTGCGATGGTTGTCCGGCAGATGGGAATCACATCTTGTAGTTCAGCCTCGAACACACTGTAACAGAGAAGGGGTGTTTTGTCAGCTGGAATGATTTCTTATTCCTTCCTTCCTTTTTCTTCTTTTTCTTTTTCTTCTTCTTTCTGTGTCGCCCGTTGCATCTCGCAGCAAGCGGGAAGGTGACGAGCAAGACGGCGGCGTACCTGTAAAAGTTCTCGCTGGCTCCGATAGCAGTGAGGGCATAAGAATTTGTGAGTGTCGCAAAGACACCGACCCTACAGTGCAAAAAAAAACAAAAGAGGGACGAGCGCTGTGGTCAGCGCACAAGAATGGCAGATTTGGAAATTGTATCGAGAGGAACTCTTCGATGGCGGGGTTGGCGGGGTTCTGCCTAGACGTACTCATTCGAGTTCTCAAATTGTGCTCGGACCGCCATGATGACTGAACTGAACACACGATATACGAGATTCGCCTTGAATGTAGAATGAAGAAAATAAACCAAAATGGTATAGGAATAGAAGTTCAGATGTCTTGCTGGAAGGGATTGTCGGGCGTTTATAACGACGGTAGATATATCACGGGCTTTGCGATGGTATTTGCATGTCGTCCCAGGAAGGGGATTTTTAAGCGGGGAAGAGCTTAAAAAAGCTAGGAATTTAGAGACACCAATTGCGTCGTCGAGCGGTTCCCAAAGTGGGGGCCAAGGTACTCTTCTTGGTACGGGAAAGCTCTCGGTCGCTTTACTCGGCGATTCTCGAAGTCATGCTGACTCTTCACTCTCTTTTCGTTCAGCCCAAAACCAAGCGAACAGGCCGATGACTCAGTTTACATCACGTTGGTGACTTTGCATTGCCACTCTGACTCCTTTCGTTCCCCTGCAACAACCTTCGGCAAGAAGCAAAGAAAATGTGTCAACCCATGCCAAGCATCGCGAGGGTCAATCTCGAACACAATACTCGTAAATATGCCACCCATCAACTCAACAAAGGGTCAGACGCTATGATTGCCCATTGACCGGGGCAGGACGGACTTCCTCCTTACTCCGTGTCCGTACATCTACGCCGCCACTGTTCGAGACTGGCCTACCTATTCTCCACTGTCCCTGCAAGAAGGAACAAGTCACAGCTTCGTCCCTCGATTTTGTTCAGACAACAGTCAATGATGATGAGCCTCAAACATCTTAATATTATCACATGTCTGTCTCCAACAATCCGAGACGTCACTTCATCCGCCGCCCCTGCGCTGTGACGAACTCATCTAAATCGACATGAATCCTCATACCTTTCGACGCCATGGTGTTGAAAACAGAACGCAGCTCGAATTCGTCCATCGCCTTAACCAGTGTCGTGAACGCCTCCATCGCTAATTCCTTAGACCAAGGGCAGTGTGAAACGCCTCGGAAGAAGACATCCTTCGCCTTGTCTCGATGTTCCTTCGTCGCACAGCAGAACCGGATGTAGCAGCGCCACAGCGTGCTGTTCGGTCGACACGCGGGGCTCTCCATCGCATGCTCAAACGCTGCACGAGCTGAATGAGCGTTGCCCCGTTGCAGCTCGTACCTGATGGCAAAAACCCGGCTGGCAACGCAATCGTTTCCCCCCGCAAGGGCTGTGTTGCGCAGCATATTTCTCGCCGGATCCTCGATCCCGAAACTCGGGGATGCCCAGGAGAAGAGCGTTAGAAATATGGTGTTACGAGGGAAGAAATCGATGCACCTCGCGAGGTGTTCGCGGAGATATGCGCTTCGAAAGGGCCTGCGGACTCACCAGTGCTTAGTAGCAATTCTCTGAAAATGATGTTAATCAAGGTGTTCAAGTGCGTACGTACCCTCGACTTGCATGCAGGTAAAGCAGCCTCGCCCCCGCCTGCAAAATCCTCTCGTGCACCTCCGTTCCGCCTTGACCGCGCTGGCATAATGCTTCCGAAACCATCCACATCCGGTCCAACGCTGCGGCGATGTTTCCTTGCGCGACTGAAGCTGGCTCTGAGCCGCCTGGTAATGTGAGGTACTCTAGCATGGCCAGCAATTCTGCGTTCGAGACGGCGGCGTCGAATTGTGAAGTGGAAATGAAGTACCCGAGATCGCCGGAGAGCGTCTGTCGAGCACTAAGTAAGTGGTGAGGAGTCACTGTAGCGGCGTCTGCCGTGTCACCAAGCGAAGGGCTCGTTGCAGCACAGATGTATAGCACTGCCTTGGCCTTGTCGCCAGCTTCAAGCTCAATCCAAGCCCATACTGTCCATAGAACTAGCTTATCCGCAGATTCCTTGGGTAACATCTAAGCCCGTTAGCAATCCTAGCTCACGGCCCATGGGTGCTAGGTGTAACTCTTAACCTACCTGAACCAGCCCTTTCGCGGATCCAAGGACTTGCCGTGCCACGTCGACGTTGCCGCTCGCCCACTCCGCGAGCGCATACGCTACGTAGAGGCAGATGTTGGATGAGAACTGTTTCAGGAGAGCTTTGGCTCGCTTCTTGACTGTGCCTGGACCGTTCACCCGTTCTAAAGCAAGGTAGTACGGGGCCATGTCTTCGAACCTGGCCTTCTGGAGCAGCTGCTTCAAGACTGCGAGGGCCAATGCGAGCTTGACCGGGCCATCCTGGTCTTTCCCTGTGGTGGGCCAACCGCTTAGGTACTGAAACCAAGTCTGCCCTGGGAACAGGACATCTAGTGAGGGTGCTAGATGGTGGCTGTCTTGGCCAAAGTTGGGTAACCTTGTTGATGCCTCCTCGTTCTCTAGAGGTGCCTCTACTGGCCTTTGGTATAATTCCCCCTCAAAGTGTTTCATTCCGCCCAAGATGAACGGGTCAGCGGCTGCCGCTCTGGTCCACGGATTGGTTCGCTCAGTCGGTGGTAAGTGGCAGAAGAGAAGGAATGCATCCACCAACTGACGCCGGATTGAGAGCAACAAATCCTCAGGGATGATGAAGAGGAAGCTCTCAATGTCGGAGAACATGATGACGCGATACGGGTCGTCCTCGGTTCCTTCGTCCAGGGATCGTGCGGGCTGCCTCGAGTCTAAGGCTCGTAGCTGTTCGGTTACTCCCCATGACTTATAGACATCGCGAGACGTGACCATAGGAGTGTCAGAGACTCGGGGATCTGGAGGGTCAACATCCCCTCCAGCCGCTACGAAGTGCGCCCACCCAAGGGCACCTTCCTCTCCTATTCGGGGCACCTCGTTTTCCCAAAATTCCTTGAACGACTCGAGGACTTCTGAAAGGGGGGCGTTGTGCAGAGTGTCAGGCCGAAAAAGGTTAAGCTCGAAGTGCGCCTGCCAGGCGGCCACAGATAGCTCCCGATAGCCAGCATAAAAAACAAACCGTGTAGCACGGAGAAATACATAAATCAGCTGGGCATAGATGGCTGCGCGATCACCATCGCCAGTGGGCGACCCAGCATGCGGACCGACGGGATGCGTGGGGTGACTGGGGACACTGCGCAGGCGGTCAAGATACATGTCCCTGATATCCTGGTACTGGAACTTGGAAATATTGGAAAGCCTGGAATCCATCCTCGCTTTCCAGAGAACAAAGCTTGTGGGGTGCTCAGAAGCGATCTCGTCCCAACGGCGCTCGAGCTTGGAAGCTGGCCAAACTTTGGCCCCCTCCAGCATGGTACCGAGCAGTAGCCGTTCCTGGTAGTCAGAAACTCCGACGTGCTTCATCGCAGACTCGTACATAGAGAGTTTGATCTCAGCGTAGCTGGATACCGCCGCCCTTGTTGCATCGCCATCAACGCCCTCCGTGGCCCGCAGCAGGACATCCTGGTGGTTGATGAGTTCCAGCCATGCCTGGATATCCTCGGGGTGTTCCTTGACGCGGCGCCCAAGGTCTATGGACCTCTGCTTGATGGGATCGTCGTAATCGAGGGCGACATCATGATCATCAGCTGATCCATAGTCCACGTCACTGTCCGAGAACTCGTGTTCCTTGGCTTTTCCCTCTATGGATCTGTAGTCGGGGCCCTCTTCCACCGCTTCGTTGGATAAGAGCGGATCCTCGGTGAACTGATGACCATGGGCGGATGCTTTCAGGGGCACATAGTCCTGCTCCTCAGCGTTAGGCTGTCCATCGCCCCGGTGCGGTCTGATGCGCCTCGGACGTATGCGACGCACGTTGGACCGAAACAGCCGGCTGTCTCGCGTGGCCGAACCACCATCGCCAGGCAACTGGATGGCGAACTCTTCCCTGGTGCCGTCCCAGTGGGTCCTGAGATAGCCTTCTGAGCCGAGCACTCGCCCGCGGCCGCTCCGGCGATAGTTAGGCACCTTGGAGCGATCATTGCTGTGGTACCTCGAATTCATGGGGTCACCGCGCTTGTCAATGACAAAGAGGGCCTCGGCATCTCTGGGACCAGGTACCTGAGGAGGCTCGGTTTTCGCCTCCCGTCTGACCAACGCTCTGCTACCTAGGTCTGACAACGCCGAACTATCTAGGAGTTGCCGATGATTTGAGCGGTGCCTCGATGGGCGCTCATCGGCATGTCGAGGATGGTCCTTTCGGTGACGGCGGCCTCGTTCTCGGTCTTTCTCGCGGTCGACGTGGCGATGAGAGCGATGCGCATCTTTATCACGTTCTTTTCGCCGTTCATCGCTGCGCTTGCCCTCTTCGACGCCAGGAGAAGCCGACTCGGACGGGGAATCGGGACCTGGCGCCTTGGCCTTGAACGAGGAAAACTTTGGTATCGTCAAGCTCTTGCTGTCTGTCCCTGACATGATAGCCGTAAGATCTGCGTCACGAGGATTAACGACGGGGATGGACTACGGTGCCGACTGCATCTTCCCCCTTCGCGAGCGTAGCCTGCCCCCAACGAATTTCCCCAGACGCAACGATTCTAACACTTCGCAGTACGAGGTACGAATACTTCGTAGCTGCAGCTAGGTTTGAGGTTGGATGCTTCTGGCGAGTAGATGGACCCGGTGTCGTCGAGGTCGAGACGAATGACGTTGAATTTGGAGACGAACAAAGTTGGGCGTGGGGGTTGCTTCTGCATTACGATGTACCTAAGTACTTCGTACTACCTTTGCAAGATCAGCAGGCACCCCTGTCTTAGTACGGTACGAGGCAGTGACAAGATAATTGCATCCGTACTTCGTTCTCTGTTCAGTACCAATTCGTACCTCCCTTACCTTACCAGTTACCGTATCAACCCATAACTTTCGACCTTAGAACTTTACCCGGTCTAGTAACGCTTAGTTCCACTATAAAACCTTAACCGTTATATCAGCAAATCACCTAAGGTCGAAATTCTCCTTAATAGGGGTACTTAACTACCTTGTCAAAGGTCGGGGCATATATTGGCTGAATTTAAAATAGATATAGGGGAATAGGGTGCCAAGTCACTAATTCCAAGGTCGAAAGTTATGGGTTAGTACGGAGTAGCTAATAACTAGGGCGATCATGCTGTGATTTGGCGTGGTCCGCCTCCGGTTCAAGACGTTTTATGGGTGGGTGGTTTGCGCACACATACCATACCATAACAAGATGGCGGTGGTTAAGGAAACACCACAGCAGTTTGTGTCACAGTTCTTGCATCTTTGTCCCGCTGTAATTCATTGCTTGTTTGATGTGCTCGCATTCGTTTTCTTGTCCCCGTCTCTCATATGACGTATCCCCTCCAACAGGACGTCGAGACAGAAATGGGGATTGTATAGGCACCTGACTACCTTAGGTTGTTGAGTGGAGTTTCACGAGTCGGGAGTCGGGCCTGGTCTTCCACGTGAGTTGTTCGTACATGTAAAATCCGAGACACCACCAAGGAGAGGTCGTGATAGCGCGCTGGGATAGGACGCGGCCCCCCAGAGTTGTGTACTTCGAGGACTGTGCCAAGTGAATCCCTAGTGGAGCGTTCGCGCCATGCGGGGCCAGACGAAGGGAAAGAGAGACCCTCCCAGCTTCCCCTGGCCCCTAAGTACGTACCTTGATCGTAACGCCGAGGTCATCGCGTCCAGTTCCAAGAGCTTCCCTTTTTCTCGCTCTACCTTACTTCGTACACCTCTACATTACCTTTGGGAGACGCAAAGTACTTCGTACGAAGTCCTTCCTCCCCTCGTTTTCTTCGCCCCTCTTCTCTCCCTCTCTCCCTCTCTCCCTTCCCCCTCTACCTTACCCTCCTCTCTTTTCTCGAAGTACCTATTCTTCTTCATCCGTCCCCTTCATCCCTCCTTCATCTGGCCGGACGGGTTAGAAAGGAGGACGCGGCCACACGTCAGTAACTCCGACACTTCTTCTCATCCCACATTCGCATGTTCCATCGGCCATCAACTGACACCCTTCGCTTTGCAGTTTAGTCCGTTGCCTATACCGCCGATAATTCGATGATCTTTCCTCAAGACCGACGTCACTCGTGATATGTTCTGACATTCCTTGGTCCTTCCTTTGCCCGATCCGAGCCATATGCAACACACTCGCTCTGTCTCCCGCGAACGGTTCTAAGCTGCGATTTACATCCGACCAGCCGTTGTTCTCCTGCTACACGTGCGACGTTGTTGCTTCCTTTGCATATTCTCAGCCCTTTCATTGTTCGCCGACAAAGCTGTCCCTTCAGCGTGTTTCGACTTGAAATACCAGCTTCGACCCAATCTCCGCCATACTCCGGCGACTTTCTACGCTTCTGAGGCATCTGGCCCCCTCGCCTAATGTGCATCTGTAACAACACGGCACCATGTCGCAATCCGGAAACCACAATTTGCTCTCTGCACCTGTTTCACCGACTCACTTAAGGATCCCGTCACACCAGGATTCGCATAACTCGGTCGATGAGTTAGACGAAAGATCACCATTATTACGGCGCTCAAGATCTCGTGCTCGCATCCCGGGCTACGACACTAGCTCCGTGAGGCATACAACCCTGCCGAGAAACCATAGCTACCAAGGTATGTTCTGGTTTGACGTAGGGCCCTTCTCTCGGCCCGTTTATACTCGCTTTCTGTCGCTCGGTCCTCGCACACATCTTTGTTGTATGCGCAAGCATGTATGTTCCCACGCTGATCGGGGCTCGTCTCCTATGTTCTCACAGGCAGCATTCGAAGTGTCAGGCATCACAGTCGAAATCCGTCATGGAGTTCCCGCCTTATTCACGCCCTGGCCGATCGTCCGGAACCCTTGGCCGAATCCAAAGGCTCACTCGGCGACGAAAGAGTCTGGTACGATCAGTTTACATCTACGGACTGGGTGCACGACAATATCGCCCACGCCCTCCGTCTCAAGGAGCTGCGTAGCCGCAAGGACTTCCGTGGCCGCCTTTACGCCTTTTTCGACGCCGCCCAGGGCTGGGTTCTGAGTTTTGTCTGTGGTGTCATCATTGCCTTGATTGCCTATGGTGTCAACGTCTCGGAGAGCGTCATCTTCGACTTCAAAGACGGGTATTGCGGAAGAGCTTGGTATCTTAACGAGAAGGTAAGTGTGGTGGTCTTCGCGAAAGGGGGTGTCCTGCATACACGCCCGGCCTTGGGCATCGGAGTGGGGAGGCGCCAGTTGGCTGGGTATTATGGACCCCATACTTTGTGAGGTTTGACTGACATGTCGAATCTGTCGCCAGAAATGCTGCCCTCGCGGTCTTTGCGACGACTGGCGACCGTGGTCTGAGGTGCTTAACGGCAAGCCATTCGGTAATGTGTGGACCGAGTATGCGGTTTACTATGTCCTGGTCCTTACTTTGGCTTCTCTTTCCTGTCTTATGACTCTCACTACGAAGACCGTGGTCCCGTCAGCCTATCGTATGACGACGTTTGACGAAAACCTTGCGGCGGAACGTGTGCCCTCGAATAATCCAGCCGATGAGAACCAGAACGACGGTAACTCCAGCCCCAGCCGGCCTGCCGAAGAGTCCATCATTCCCCCGATGATCTATTATTCGGCAGCAGGCAGCGGTGTGGCTGAAGTCCGTGTCATCCTAAGCGGATTCATCTTGCACGGCTTCCTCGGTCTGAAAACCCTGATCGTCAAATCCGTCGCTCTCATTTTCAGCGTCGCGTCCGGGCTCAGTCTGGGAAAGGAAGGCCCCTTTGTGCACATCGCCACTTGTGTCGGCAACATTGCCTGCCGGTTGTTTTCCAAGTACGACCAGAATGATGCCAAACGACGGGAAGTACTGTCGGCTACCGCCGCTGCAGGTGTTGCCGTGGCTTTCGGCGCTCCGCTGGGCGGCGTTCTCTTCGGGCTCGAGGAGGTGTCCTATTTCTTCCCAGCGAAGACGCTCTTCCGAACATTCTTTTGCTGCATCGTGGCTGCCCTCACACTCAAATTCCTGAACCCGTACGGCACCCACAAGGTGGTCATGTTTCAAGTCCGATACGTCGTCGACTGGGCCTATTTTGAGCTGGCCTCCTTCATGGTTGTTGGCGTCTTGGGCGGCGCTGCAGGCGCGCTGTTCATCAAGGCATCCAAGCACTGGGCTCAATCCTTCAGGCGTATCAAGGTCATCAAGGCGTATCCCATGTTGGAAGTCCTACTAGTTGCCGCTGTTACCGGACTCTTGAGTTATTGGAACCACTTCACCAAGCTCTCGGTGGCAAAACTCCTTTTGAAGCTGGCTTCTCCGTGCGACGACGACGAGGATTCCAACGACTTTGGGCTCTGCCCCACTGAAATTGATCAAATCCCCCCAATCTTGGCAAGCCTCCTGGTAGCTTTCCTCATCAAGGGCTTGCTGACCACCGTCACGTTCGGTATTGTGCGTATAACCTTGAGCCGTTTCCTTGAAGGAAAGACAGGACGATGCTAATTCCCTTTTTGGCAGAAAGTACCCGCTGGCATCTATGTCCCGTCCATGGTCGTGGGTGGTCTCATGGGCCGTCTCGTCGGTCACATTGTTCAGTGGTTCGTGATGCGTTTCCCGCACTTCGGACTTTGGAGCCGCTGCGCCGCCTTCGCGCCTGGGACATGCATCCAACCTGGCGTATACGGGCTGATTGCGGCTGGGTCAACCATGTGCGGAGTTACGAGGCTATCAGTAACCTTGGCTGTCATCCTCTTTGAGCTCACAGGCAGCCTCGACTATGTTCTCCCGTTCTCTCTCGCCATTCTGGTGGCGAAATGGACGGCGGATGCCATCGAGCCAGACAGTATTTATGTAAGATGCGAGAAGCTAATTTCGGCGAAGGGCCAGAGCTGACCTTCTCGGACTAATAGGATCTCCTCACCAACATGAACTCGTATCCTTTCTTGGATAACAAACACAAGCCGATTTTCGTCTCGGATTTGGCTGCCATTGTTCCCCGTGTGCGGCGGGAACGGGTAATTGACATTGCCGACTCGCCTCTAGTACCGGCCTCGAGCCTCCGTTCCAAACTAGAGCTCCTGCACAGGGCCGGTGAGCTCGACGGTGGCCTGCCCATTCTCCGCGACGAAGTGTTGGTGGGGCTCATTCCAGCCCCGGACTTGGAGTACGCGTTAGACAATCTCGACGACGAGGCGAACAGCGTATGCTTGATGACGCACGTGCCGTCAATTGAGGATTCGGACGACGAGGACGAGGTGGATCCCACCGATTTCACGACGTATATTGATCCGGTAAGGCACTGCGCCCCAATACGACGGCCTGCTAAACTCCATGTGCCCGACTCCATAAAACTGACCACGTTCTGTACAGGCGCCCATGGCACTTGACATCCGGTCTTCTATGGATCTAGTATACGAGTGCTTTTCCAAACTCGGCCTTCGATATATTTGTGTCCTGAAAGACGGGCGGTATGCCGGCATGGTCCATAAGAAAACCTTCGTGAAATATGTAAGGGAGCTGAAGCATGAGAAGTAAGGGAGCGGGTACTGACCCTATGCATATACCCGAGCGGAGGAGTTGCGGTTGGGCCCGACCGGTAATGAGTTGAACACATAGAGGGGAATGTGGCGGGGTTTGTTACTTTGTCCTACGTTACGAGGAGATCGTGATCGAAGCACTTGTTGGAGACAAGCATGGCCTTCTGTTTCTTGTTCTTTCATCGGCGACATTGGTTTTGCATTCAGCATTTCGCATTTTGCATCTGCACTAGCAACGGTTCGGTGTTCACCTATTCGTTTGGTTCTTGATCACTTCTCACACCAACCTAGAGGCATCAAGGAGGGAAATTAGATATGTTCCGCCAACATTCTGTCTGCGTTGTTGAAGCCCGACGCTTTTTTAGCCATCAATTAGTACATGCTGCCTCCCGCGGAAGACAACGTGCTCGTCATCTCCGAAGAAACCGATACCGTCCACCGTGGGCGCGTTGTCTCCATTGCCCAAATACCAAGTCCAAAAAGCATATAGACTATCCCGTCAATCATCCCAACCCCAATAATCGTATTCGGGAGGGTCATTCAGGTCGTATAGAGCATGTCCCTGATATTGTCTTGGGAGAGTGTGGGATGTCACATTCCGTCGCGTCGCGTCAAGTGTTGGTCAGCGAATAGTTGAGACTCTTCAGGCCCGGAGCGGGGCGGAGCGGGACAAGACTGTGGGGAAGTGGGGAACATCCATCGGAACAAAGCCAGTACACGTGTACGAGTGCAGCACCAAGTACCTACTTCGTACCTAAGGTACCTAAGGTAGTGACATCGTATGGGAATAGAAGCTGTGCGAAGTAGGTACTTACTCCCTAAGGTAGGTACTTCGTACACTGATTGCTTGTCAGGTATTTCCTCGCGCAGGTCGTACAAGAACAGCCGGTTCGCATGTGCTTCTCTCTTTCAGAAACACCCCAGCGGGGCGGGTCATGGAGGAGCGTTGAGATGGTATTTGAGGGGAACAGCTCATAGGGGGAAGCTCCCCACCACGCCGGTCTCGGAGTCTTCCCCGTCCACTTATCATTACATGAAGTGACAAAGTGTTACACGTATCAACACGATACTAACACGGAACGGGGAGGTGCAGTACCGGGGTAGGTGCGACGCACAAAAATACACTGAAGGAGAATCACGGCCTAGTGTCAGGTATTCGTAGAGTCAGGTGCAATAAGCCGCTGCCACCCGATATAAAGCTCCGATCATCTCTCATCCAATTGTCATTCCTCGGGGCCATTGACTCGTCTCCTTTACATCCCCCCCCCCCCCCCCCTGGACGCAATCGCAGGGCAAAGGCGGCGTGTCGTAAGATACAACCAACACAACATGGCGGCCCTTCGTGTCTCTCGAATTTCGCTTCTGCGCCCGATACCTTCGGGGGCGAGGGCACTTGGTCCCAAGGCGAGGCCTTTCTCTGTTTCGGCGGTCAGGACCGCCGCCTCCAGCCTGTTCCCGGACGAGCCCGCCCGTCCGACCGTCAAGACAGACATCCCAGGCCCTGTGTCAAAGAAATACATCGACGACTTGCATGAGGTCTTCGACACACGAAGTCTTAACATGCTCGCTGACTACAACAAGAGCATTGGCAACTACATTGCCGACCCGGATGGCAATGTCCTCCTCGACGTGTAAGAAAGCCTATGATCGCGTCTTCACATCCTCCCAACGCCCGTCCCTCGCGAATTCACACCCAACCCAACATCAGCTTCCCATCATGGTGTGCCCACGTACCAATAAGCTGACTTGAGTGTCTCACAGCTATGCCCAAATTGCTTCCATCCCCTTGGGGTACAACAACCCAGGCCTCATCGCTGCTTCGAAAACTCCGGAGATGGTCAGTGCCATTGTCAATCGCCCGGCTCTGGGCAATTTCCCTCCCTACGACTGGGCCGACACCCTACGCTCTGGCATTCTCAAGGCGGCTCCGCCGGGTCTCAACCAGGTCTTCACCGCCATGGCCGGTTCTGATGCCAACGAGACGGCCTACAAGGCAGCATTCATGTACCGCCGACAGCGTGAGCGTGGAGGGCCCCAAGCTGCCTTCACCGAGGAGGAGCTCAACACTTCCATGAACAATACCATGCCCGGGTCTGCCAATAACCTTTCCATCCTCTCCTTCAAGACGGGTTTCCACGGCCGGCTTTTCGGCTCCCTCTCCACCACCCGTTCCAAACCCATCCACAAAATTGACATCCCCGCCTTCGACTGGCCCCAAGCCACCTTCCCTCAGCTCAAATACCCCCTGGAAGACCACGTCGCCGAGAACGAAGCCGCCGAACGCGCCTCCCTCGAGGAGGTTGAACATCTTATTCAGACGCACCACGCAAAACCCGCGGCCGTTGTAGTTGAGCCCATCCAATCCGAAGGAGGCGACAACCACGCCTCGCCCGCCTTCTTCCGAGGCCTCCGCGAGATCACCGCCCGGCACGGCGTCCTCCTCATCGTCGACGAAGTCCAGACCGGCGTGGGCGCAACGGGCCGCTTCTGGGCCCACGAGCACTGGGACCTCCCCTCCCCGCCCGACATGGTCACCTTCTCCAAGAAGGCCCAGGCCGCGGGCTACTACTACGCCGACCCGGCCCTCCGCCCCAACCTGCCCTACCGCCAGTTCAACACGTGGATGGGCGACCCCGTCCGCGCCCTCCTCTTCCGCGCCATCTTCGAACAGATCCAGCAGCGCGGCCTCGTCGCCCAGGCCGCCCGCGTCGGCGACTACCTCTACGCCGGCATGCAGCGCATTGCCGAGCGGTACCCCGACCAGGTCGCCAACTTGCGCGGCAAGGACCGCGGCACCTTCATCGCTTTCGACAGCCCCAGGCGCGACGAGGTCCTGCACCGCGCCAAGTCCCTGGGCGTCAACGTGGGCGGTTCCGGCGCCACAGCTGTCCGCTTGCGACCTATGCTGGTGTTCGAGGAGCGCCATGCTGATATATTCCTGGAGGTCTTGGAGAAGATTGTGGCGTCTTGACGTCTTGGGGGGAAATTGTTCTTATTTACTCGGGATTTTCTTTTGTCTCATTTATGGTCCAGGATCGAAGCGTGACGTACGGTGATAATGTTTTCAACACTAAGGTTATGATACGAGTTATCCGAACGAATTTGTTCGTCGAGAGTAATTCCACCTATTGTTTTGTTACATCTCGTCACTTGCTTT